CCCTGCTAACCCCTTCTTACCCTTTTGATCTCAGCTTTCACATTTTATTTCCTCAGGGAGGCTCACCTTGAAGCTGCATTAGCTCTCTGAAGGTGAGCCCCTAGGGGTCCCTAGATGCCCGGCTTATAACATCCTTCACATAAGCAATTAGCTTTTGTGAAAATGGAAAATGAAGGGCACTCAATAAATGCTAGTTCCATTTGTGAATTAATTCTGCCCACATGGGTGTGTTTTCTTTGAAGGAAAAGTCTGAGGATCTACATTAGTCATTTCTACACACTGGTGCCTAAGCACGCCTTCCCTCCCCCCATAGGCCATTGCCGTGGTTTAGAAAAGGCTCACTGGCAGCAAGGTTGTGCACAGGCCAGGAGGGCTTGCAGTAGGAAAAGCAATTCTGGTTGTCCCTTCTGCCCTCAGGTTTGGGTCCTGCACCTGGCCACCCACCCAGCATGCTCTCTCAGATAGGCACCTCCCCTGGCACTGAGTAATGTTCTGTAACCCACCCAAGATTACTTGGGGTCTGAGTCATGTGCTGACTTTTCTCTGTACTGAGTTTAGATTATGTCCAAGTCTTAGTCTTTCCATTTGGAAATTACTTCTTCAGTCTTCACGAGTCATTCAAGAGGCATGACTTTCAGTTTGTATTATAATCCTATGTCCTTGAATTGAACTGATCCGTCCTAAGGGTGATGCCTAGGGAGTGGGTGTGTGTACTGCTGCATGTGCATGCATGTGTGCATATGTGCATGCAAGCATGTGTGTGTGTGAGTGTGCAGGTGTGTGAGTGTGCACATGTGGTAACTGTCCACAGTGACTGTCTTCCTTCCGCAGACGTGGGTCCCCAGGTGCTGCAGCTACGTTTCTATTCTGTGTCATTCTCTCTAGGACAGGTGGCAGATTCTTTGATTTGATTTCCTTGCATGCTGATTGATTTTCACTGAACCGTCTTACCCTTTTTCGAGCCCTTCCTTTTGTGACTTAAGGCAAGCAGTTTCAAGACTGCTAACAGTTATGTGTTTTTGCAAATGTTTTGCCAAATTCTTATGAACATTGTGCCCCATGAAATCACAGCCAATTGCTGTCAGGTCGAGGAAAGCAGGTATTCTTATATCTCTTGTCTAGATAGGGGTCAGTGGAATGAAGTGACCCACTCAGCTCCCTTAGTTGACAGGTGGCAGAGTGGATGGGGAAGCAGGATTTTCTTCTCCAGCCTCCTAGTCTGTGTTCTGTGTGCAAAGCAAAGTACCTTCTCCAGTTTAGCAGTCACACCTCTCCTGTAAATCTGTGACTTTAAACCAGATTTCCCCTCAGTATGCAAGTTCTTCATATCCTCCCCAGCTCTGGCTACTAAGTTAGATCTTAGAAGAGGCCAGGAAGGCTAGAGTGGAAAAGTCATGAACCAGGAACCCTTTTGTCTCCATCATGATTTTGTGATACCGCTTTCTTTTTGGAAATCTTCAAAATTTCACATTTGATCTGCTTCATTAGTCTATCAAGAATGCCAAGTTTCTTCCTAGGACCGGCAGACATAGGCTGTGGTGAGCAATGTCTATGTTCCAGGTCTTTCCAGAAAGCTGCCCACCCTGGCAGGCCAAGCACTCTGCTGACAGGAGGGCAGTGGTCAGCCTGGTGTTTTATTGTACTGTTGGTGTATTTCTTTCCCTTCTTCTCTTTCTTCCTCCACCTCCCACTTCATTCCTCTTTTGTGTGAAAATGCTTTTTGTAGCTAATTCAGCCCCTGGGTTTGCAGTGAACTCTCAAAGCTTCTTAGGCTAATCTGCAGGAAGGGCACTGTCAACAAGGGCAAAATGAGTGGATCTCCAGAGCCAGTTAAAAACCACAAATGGGGGCTCCTCTGGTGGCACAGGCGGTTGAGCACAGCGCTGTGAAGCTGTCCGCAGTCTCTGTAGCGTGGGTTCGATCCCGGCTGGCTGCAAGAATCCCACATGGCGCAGCAGACCTCTCCTGTCTCTCCCGCTGCTCCCCTCAGCAGTGTGTTTTGGTCAGTCTGCCTGTTCTGTTCCCCGCTCTGTCTCTGGTGAATCCTCTCACCCCCCTGCGCATCTGGCCTGTACTCTGGTTCTTGTATGCATGAATAAATAAATCTTAAAAACAAAACCACAAATGTGCATTTGAAGATAAGTCCAATCTGGACTAAGGTCCCTCTATAGAACCTTCCAATAGATCTTCTGAGGCTGCCTTTTTGCATGGAAGGGAGTTATGTGAGTTCTCTGGAAATACACAAACACACAGATAGAACAAGGAGGTATATTTTGCAATTGTCTGTAATCATGAGAATCTGAAAATAATTTACATACCTGCTTCATAATATAAGAATGTCTGTATTAATTATGGCAGGTTCAAGCAATGGGACAGTCAGTAACCCTGAGAAATAGTAAGGATTATCTAGAAGTGGTGAGTGGAGAGTTGTCTATAACATACTCTCAGAGGGGAAAGGTTCGTGTGGATTTATATGCTGTTTCAATATGCGTACATATCTAGAGAAAAGTATGGAAGGATATACCCCAAATTATTACTAGAAGGTCATGGGAATGAAATTAGAATGAGCTTTCCTGCCCACCTGTGAATACGAAGGTGCCTCTCTTTTTCTTCCTCCTTTTCCTAATAAACCTGTCCTTCAAAATGTAAAAAAAAATTTTTTTAAATAGAATGAAGGGGGAACAGATACTGTGTTGTGTTCATTTATAAACATATGTAATTTTTTTGCAATAATCAGTTTTAGAATTTTAAAATGAACAATTATGAGGGTTAAAGCATTAAATGATATATTAGTGTCTTTTAGCATCTGTCTTTTACCTGCCATTTGGATTGCCACCGGAGTTTTGCAGTCATGAAACCCTGAGGAGACTTTAGGGTCTCTAGGTTGTTGGTGGCCTGAGGCCACCAATTTTTAAACATTTTTATTGTTTAATCGAATTACCCATCCCTCCATATCTGTTTTTCCATCAGTGTCACTGGCAGAGTTTTCTCTTGCTGAAATAGTAAGCGAGTCCTAGTGCTGATTAAATTAACTCACCCTTCTTTTGAGAGCATGAAATCCTTCACCCTGGTGTGTGTGATCGCCAACTCCTCCTGTGCCAGCTCTCTCCCGCTGGGATGCCTGCCACACTGCTCCACATGCTGGTCAGGAGAGAAGGGAAATTGGTCATAGAAAAAGTCCTATTCCTGATTAGAACTAAATATTAGAATGCCAGGTCACCGTTTTCTTCTTCAATGCATGGCATTTGGCTTTGGTGAAGAAAGGAGAAATAATGAATGCTGTGAAGGGCCTCAAAAAATAGAAGTTCATTGATTTTGGGGAGTTTGGGTTTCAACATTTGAGTCTTGGGGGGACATAAACACTCATGCATATCAGATGAGGTGACAAGTGAACTGAATGTTGAGGGTTCACTGACATAAGCCCATTAATTTCATTTTACTCATGTTTTCAACCAATCCTAGAGTTCAGATGAATTTCCTCTACTTTCCTGGAAGGGAAGGAACCTTTTGTTTATTTTTTAATTTCACCTGCACTAACGACTTAGAGGAGTTTAATGATTCTGATGGTTTTAAATTTCAAGTTTTATTTGATGGTTTTATGTCCTCTTCCCCAGTGTAGACATGTCAGCATTACATCTCCATGTGCGTTCATGTCCACATCAATGAAACAGTGACATCCACAGCAGTGAAAACAGCTGACAAAATTAATTTTCCCTCTGCTTGTACTTTGATTCCAAAAGTTAAGTGTTAAGTTGGCATTTGCTGTACTTATACCTTGATCTCAGTCCAGCTTCCTGTTATAAAATCAGAACCTGTGAAATGTAGACACACCTGTGAGAGTCCAGCCTGCAGTTTCATATGTATGGATAATGATAGCTTTTAGTCTCTTTACAGCTAACTAAATAAATACTTCAAAGTATGACTAGATAATCTTTAAATTTGTGAAAAAAAAATTTTTCAGCTGAAAAATGTTCATCAGCTAGGTCTTTAGTGAAAATGAGATATCATGTCTCTGTCAATAAAACCTGCATTGGTTCATCACAGGCCTTGTCACCTTCGCCAGCCATTATTAACGAATACACCGAGGCTATGGGTGCAGCTGGTCTCTATGGGCACAGACCAGCGTTGCCTGACTCAAGGGTGTCTATAAAGTCTTTGGGTATGAAGCGCAGGTTATTAGCACTTAATATTTCTATCCTTATTATCAGTCAGCAGGTTGTTTCTGTGACAGCCTCTTTCTACCGAGAGGCAGCCATGCTCTTGTCGCTAGTCATGTCTGGAGGGAGCTGCACACACAGCTCCCCCTTCTCTCACTCAGCTCGCACTGCTGGGCCCCTCAGAGCAGTCAGAGGACTTTGTCTTCACGATGGCTTTGCTTCCCAAGTTTTTCTCCTTTACCTTTCAAAGTCCTACTCACACTATTTCTCCCACTTAAAGTATACCCTCTCTTGTATTTTGAGAAGCAAAAGGATAATTTAGTGAGGACATTTTTGGTGCTTATGCTGAAACCCTGATGATCTTTGTAAAATTAAACTTACACATTTGTCTTTCCCAAACCTACAGACCTAGATGCTTTTATTCAACACATGGATTTCTGGCCTCATTGTCACTCAGTGATTTCCTAAAATGTCAATGCCATAGGTTTTGTGGTCTCTGATTTGAGTGAATCCAGAATTGGAAATACATCATTTTGCTGTGCACAGATAGCGTTGAAGATGCCTTCTTCTGCAAGTCTTTTTCTCCTTGCACAGGCTTTTCAAATGTTTGTGATCCTTTCTTTCTTTTTTTTTTTTTTTAGACTTATCAGTCTTTTCCCTGTTCCCCAATAGTCAGTTGGTTTTCAAACTGTTTAACTCATGAACATATCCAGAAACATGTATATGAATTATCTGTTGACCAGCTGCTCAAGTTTGGGGGGCTTGCCGGGGATGACCCATGTCCAGGGCTCAGTTTCATGGCCCCAGGGAGTGGATGCAGTGACTTTCCATTTCTCTCCCCAGTGCGATCGCCTCCATCCTGAGGGCCTGGCTTGACCAGTGCGCAGAGGACTTCCGGGAGCCCCCGAATTTCCCCTGCTTACAGAAACTGCTGGATTATCTCAAACGGACAATGCCAGGCTCTGACCCGGAAAGAAGAGCAAACAATCTTCTTGAGCAGTTTCACAAACAAGAAGTGGACACCGACAGTGAGTACTCGCCCGATGCCAGGCCGAAGGCTTGATTCTGCTTCTGTGGGCTCCATATTGAAGAAACGGTCACCCTGTGCTCTGGCGATGAGTTAGGAGGTTTCTGTTTTCCTCAGAAGGGAAGATGCTGAGGGGGTTGATGGTAGTTGTAAAATTCTAAAGGCTAGGGAAGTGCTAATCAGAGTTTTAGAACAAAGAATGGGATTTTCAAGACCACCCTCATTTTATATGTGAGGAAACTGTGGCTCAGAGAAGTGATTTCCTAGGGCTTCTGCTAACACCCTGAAGACGGTGATGTCCTTGGTGACCTCTTACTTGCCCTTGTTGGCATGTACCCTACTGAACCTGAGCTTGCTCCTTATCACCTAACTGATGGCTCCTGTCACATGGAAACCCATTGCACACAGCCGCCCACCTCTAGCAGGCAAAGAATTTAATCCAGTTCTGCCCAAGCCCTTGCAAAAGCTGGGGAGAGGTATTTCTCCTTCAGCATAGAAAACCTCGCCTTCATTTGTCCCATGCCAGGGCAGAGATCCACCATTTAGGGGCCCTACTGGGTCTCATCAAGGGAGGTTTCTTCCTATTTTTTTGGGATGTTTTTTCCTATTTGAGGAATCAACTACCTCTTTTCAAGGACAAAGGAAGGGCCGCCCCAGCAGGTCGTGGGCTGCTTGGAACTCTCAGTCAGAAAGAGGTTAGGACAGGCTGACGTCCTTTCCCCTCATGGCTGCTGCGCTGCTGGTGGTTGCCATGGCGGCTGACCCACTTGGAGCTCCTGACAGGCATTTCCCTGAAGTGATGCCTGGCTTCCTCAGTGAGGGAAAGGAAATGGTTCCTCAACACTGGTAAGGACAGCCAAATCAGCACCAAAGAAAATAACCTTAAATTCCAAACAGTACCTGTGGAGGTTTTTGTGCATGGGGGGCCAGCGAGGGGAAAATGCATTTGCATCACTGGAAGCTGCCTGCCAAGTACTCTGTATCTCAGATGACTTCATCTGCCGGGAATGTTTGAATACCAGGGGCACTCCTCCAGCTGCCGGACCTCAGCTCCCTTCAGGGCCTCCCCGCCTGCCTTTGTGCAGGAGTGGAAAATGCTGCGTTGGAGCCTAGCTTTCCCCACCGGGGCTGCCCCTGGCTCCAGGCCTAATTGGGGAACCGGTGGGACCAGTCAGTCATTGTTTCCAGCCCAGGACTGGAAGGCAGAGAGCATTTGGCAGGCAGAGGCAGAGGAGACAGAATGCCTGACTTTGGAAAGGCTTTTAGGCCATACCCACGAAGGGAATTTTTCTAAGTTTGAAAATTTTTAATCAACAACACGCTAAACTATTAAGTACCGGAATCATTAATGAAAAAGATTTTTTAGGAGTTTGGTTCCTTGGGCTTATTTTGCACAATTTCCTGCTAATGAAAGCAACAAGCTCTCCTACCTGTTTTATGAAAGTAAAAGTTGGCTTCAAGTTTTTACTTGCTTACCTGTGAAAGAGAGTCAGAAGCAGAATCTGCGAAGAGATGGACTAGCCCCAGAGAGAAAGGACCATGCGTGTCCACTGTTAGTGTTGAATAAATGAGAAGACTGAATCTCTTACCCCAGGTGCTCCTTGACTGAGGTGGGTCAGCCCCTCACTGAAGAACATTTGGGGTAGATTTACAGAGTAGCTAGCACAATGGGTCAGAGCCTACAGGTCACGCTGATTCTTTTTTTTTTTTTTTTTTTTAAGATTTATTTATACAAGCACTGGATACAGACAGAAGCGAGGGAGGGTGAGAGAATTCACCAGAGCCAGAGCAGGGAACAGAACAGACAGATTGACAAAATACACTGCTGAGGGGAGCAGCGGGCGTGGCAGGAGAGGTCTATGCGTCATGTGGGAACCTCGCCAGCGGCCGGGGATCGAACCGGCACTGCAGAGGCTGTGGGCAACTTCGCAGCCCAGCGCTTAACCGCTGCCCTGATCCTTTTTTTTTTTTAAAGATTTTAATTTTGGTGCCTCCCCGGTGGCGCAGCAGTTGAGCGCTGGGTTGCGAGACTGAGATTGCCGGTAGCCTCTGCAGCGCGGGTTCAATCCCCGGCTGCTGCCGGGCGAGGGTCCCACATGGCGCAACAGACTTCTCCTGCTGCCCGCTGCTCCCCTCAGCAGTGTATTTCCTCTGTCTGCCTGCTCTGCTCTCCCCTCTGGCTCTGGTGGGTTCTCTCACCCTCCTGCACTTCTGACTGTGCCACAGTGCTTGTGTGGATAGATAGATAAATCTTTAAAAAATAAATAAATGAATAAAGATTAAAAAAAAGATTTTAATTTTTATTTATTTATGCATACAAGAACTGGGGTGTAGGCCAGAGGTGGTAGGGAGTGAGAGGATTCATCAGAGACAGATTGGGGAGCAAAACAGGCAGATCTACTGAAAAACACTGCTGGGGGGAGCAGCAAGAGAGATAGGAGAGGTCTGCTGCGCCATGTGGGTAGCTCCCTGGCCAGGGATCGAAGTCGTGCTGCAGTGGCTGGTGATAGCTTGATAGTGTTGAGACTTAACCCCTTGCACCACCAGGGAAGCTCCAGACTGAACCTTTCTTTGGGATTTCAAAATCACATCCCTCCACTGAATGAGAGCAGCAGTGTTGAGTGGAAGGAAAGTATGGGGTTTTAGCTTCCTAGAGCACCTGCCTGTTTGTGCCCCAGACTCTACATGCAAGCAGTGCCTCCTACTTTCCCCAGTTATAACTCGACCCCAGTTCCCTTCAGCTCTGGGTTGAGGGAGGCAGCCTTTAACCACATACCCATCACCAGAGTTGATGAGCGCCCATGTGGTTCCTGATAGCAGAAGTGATGCAGGGGTCCACTCTTAGTAGTCCCTTTCCCCTAGAAAACTAAGAAACAGTCACCCCAACCTGATCCAAGATGACTAAAATTATTTTCATTCTACAAAGAAAGAAAGAAAAGACTTCCAATGTAAACATTTTGGGGAAAGAGTAGCCCATCTATTTGAATTTCTGCTAAGATATAACCCATAATGCAACTAGATTTCCTTCTTGACAGCAGTTTTGACAGGCAAGAGGGAAGGAGCTTGGAAACCAATCTAGAAATTGGGGGCAGGTGCCAGAGAAGGGAGGCTGGAGATTCAAGTTTCACTTCAACCAGTTCCAGTCTTCTAGAATGAAGACTCATCCATGTGCTGAGCTTTTCAACTTTGGATTTGAGGCCGTAGTGGTTGTACTGATTCTGTTCTTACTTCTGCAGTCTGCACCCTATGTCATTTGCTGCATGATGATTTTTACTTTGATTAGCTCAAGTGAATTTAGCTCAAGGCTTTTCTACTGCTTTAATGCACTTAACTTTAGGTGGAAGCTACAATAAAAGCTGCTCCAATATTTTGAGAATTCCAAGGACTTTTTTTTTTAAGATTTATTTTTATTTATACAAGAGCCGGGGTACAGTCCAGATGCGCGGAAGCGTGAGAGGATCCACCAAAGACAGAGCAGGGAACAGAACAGGCAGACTGACGAAATACACTGCAGAGGGGAGTAGCGGGCGAGACAGGAGAGGTCTGCTCGCCATGTGGGTTGCTCCGAGGCCTGAGGGGATCAAACTGGCACTGCAGAGGCTGTGGACAGCCTCACAATGCTGTGCTCAACCGCCTGTGCCACCAGGGAGGCCCCCCGAAGACTTTTTGAAAATTTTGCAATTTTGATATACTCCTCAAATGTTGATGTACTCCCCAAAGCCAGGCCTTCACCCCCAGTCCTTCAAGAGTTCTGGTTATAAATGGGCCAGTGATTAAGAATTGCATAGATAGGGCCTCCCTGGTGGCACAGGGTTAAAGACAGCACTATCAAGCTATCACCAGCCACTGCAGAATGAGTTCCATCCCTGGCCAGGAAGCAACCCACATGGCAACAGCAGACCTCTCCTGCCTCGCATGCTGTTACCCTCAGCAGTGTATTTCAGTGGATCTGCCTGTTATGCTCTCCATTCTCTCTGGTGAATCGTTTCACCCCCCCCCCACACACACACACCTATGGCTTATGCCCCAGTTCTTGTATGCATAAATAAATAAATCTTTAAAAATAAAAAGAGTTGTATAGATAGGGTTAAGGAGCTAGGTGGACTAGTCCTTGAGCTGATGGAGGTTTTGGGGAGCTCAAGATAAAGGTAACCTTCTGAATGGAAGGCCACGTTTGCCTCTCTAAAGTTTGCTTAAATGGCTCTGTCCTTGGCCTAGGAACCAGGGGTTTGTCAGTGACAACATGAGCTGTGGAACTTAATAAAGAATCTAAGAACAAGCAGAGATTGGGCAGACCTGCACTTCACTCAGCTTGGTTGTGCTGTTTTATTTGTATTGCTCTTTTCTTCTGGGTTTTCTGAAGGATTAGCTTCTTTCTTCCTAAACAAAACTCTGCAAACAAAGTCATCTACAGTGGCACTAAATTACTCATTTTTTTTTTCTATCTGTGAACAGATGGGCTTCCCAACACCCTCTCCTTCAGCCTGGAAGAGGAAGAGGAACTGGAGGGTGGAGGGGCTGCAGAATTCACGTGCTTTGCCGAAGACCTCGTGGCAGAACAGCTGACCTACATGGACGCGGTAGGGTTTGGCTTTGTGCCTTGGCTGCTCCCACTTAAATGTGGGGAGCAACAGTGCTGGTGGTGGGGAGGGCAGCCAGGGCAATGTGACTTGACTCTTCCTGAGCCTTGAGAAAGGCTGTGCTATAGGGTGAAGATGAGACTTGGATCAATCTTCTGAATAATTTAGGCCTAAACTCTTCCTGCAATTCTGGGTGAAGGTGCTTTTCACTTGGCACTCAATATACAGAGTGAAATAAGTATTCTAATCCCAGTGAAACAAAATCTACCCTGTTCCATGAGTATTTTTCTCCCTCTAGACTCATAAATATTTCAAGATCTGAACTGTTTATTTGGAGGACTGTAAAGGGGTCAAAGTATAAGTTAGGAGAAAATAAATTCACTGAGCCCACTTGTGACTAGATCTGGGAGCCCATTTCTGTGTGCGTTTCCTGTACTTTTGAAGTTTGAATATTTTTGTTGGCTATACATACTTGATTACGTCAGTCACATTTCATAGCTCAGTGTTAGCTGGGAGATAGCAGTTGAGTAAAGGCCTGTTTATTTAACTATTGTGAATGACCACTGTCTCTGCTTCCCACTTTGGAGAAAATTTCGATCGAAGGATCATGCAATGGACTATCAGAAGTAAATCAGAGTCCATTATAAAGTCAACCCTGGTGTTCTCTCTTTTATAAAAATCCTTCCACAGCTTGCATTGCACTGCTGTGCAAATGAGCTTCTGATTTGTGCAACAAATTCATGGCGGCTCTTCCACAACTGTGAGCATAAGAGAAAGGTGGAAAAACTTCATCAGTTATGACTTAAACAATGACCTGGAAGCCAGGCTTTATGTCATGTCCCTTTTCCTTCCTGTTACTGGGTGCTACTGAAAAGCTTTTCCTTTTATATGCTTCTTGTTTTCTTCATCTTAAATAATGTGAACTATTGATGTTGATAAATGTTGCATGACATCACAGAGATACAGTTATCTCTGTGAATCACTTTTCAGGGGTCACTGAGTACCCAAGCACATTATAGGATAATTCACTAGCCAGAGACCCAGAACGTGCCTTGGTTAACAAGTCAAGGTCAAAATAATCTTTTTGATTAATAGTGTAGATTTTTTTCCCTAACTTTCTTTGTAAGGCAGGAAATGTCAAAATGTTTTTTGGTGATTTCAGTTTTGGTCGTTGTGTTCCATTTGTCCAACTGAGCAGACTTAGAACAACTGGGGGGGGGGGTGTTTCTGATCCGTAAATATATTGATTGTGCTGTCTATCAACACAGACACTTGGGGGCCAATCAAGTAGAAAGGGGTTGTCTGTCCTATTGGTATTTCTGAAAATACTAATTTTCAGAAGATCCAAGAACTGCTTTGCCTTGGGAAATGTCTGTGCTGTCCTCAGAGTCAATTCCTCTTTTCTTCTAGCAACTATTCAAGAAAGTCGTGCCTCACCACTGCCTGGGCTGCATTTGGTCCCGGAGGGATAAGAAGGAAAACAAACACTTGGCCCCCACTATCCGAGCCACCATCTCTCAGTTTAATGCTCTCACCAAATGCGTGGTCAGCACCATCCTGGGGGGCAAAGAGCTCAAGACTCAGCAGAGAGCCAGAATCATTGAGAAGTGGATTAACATTGCTCACGTAATTGTCTTTTTAAAATATTCTTTGTGCGTCCTCTATCTTGGAGACTGCTCCATCACTGTCTTTAAATGACTTATATGGCAGCTAAAAGACCATCAATGAGTGCCCATAGAGTTTTTGTTGTTGTTCTTCCAAGGTAAGGGGAACATTTGTCTTTCTTAACTTGGGAACTTGTTTCTTTTTCCTCTTTAAAAAGAAAATTGGTACCTTGCTCACTTCTTTCAGTTCCATGGGCCCTGCTGCTGCATCTCAAAGGGATGTATTGTATCCACTTTTGCCTTTGTCCACAGGCTGGGTAAGGTTCTCTGTTTGTCTAGTGAAGACAAACTGACAGAGTGTCAGATTTCTCTACAACCCAGAGTGATCCGGTGCTCCCACGTCCAGCTCCTGGAGGCCCTGTGTCCTCCACAGATACGAAGAGCTAGTGCTTCCTCAGAATCCTGACTCTTTTCTACAGGACCAAGATACCCAGATTTTGCATGAATCTGGGGCTTTTTTGGAGACTTTATATCCAAAGTCAGAGGGGAGGAGTTTATTATAGACCCAAGTGGCATTTTTGAGTGTCACTTACTACTCTCTCAGGCCACCTACTAACAAGCCTGTGGCCCTCACTTAACAGCATAACCCTCACTTCTGATTGAAAAAGGTGAAAAGGATTTAGTCACTGTTCTTCAAACATTGTAAGCTCCTAAAAGCCTTAAGCTACACTGTTACACTTTGGGGAGGTAGGATGGACACAATTGATTTGGTCCTACAAAAAGCCTCTCATTTGAAGCTAAGGTATATTGGGGTCATCTTAGTGTAAGAGAAGTAGAACCTTGTGTAGATAAATGCTGCAGAGGTGGAGGCAAGAGAGATCCCTTCTGACTGGGGAGATCAAGGAAGGCTTCATGGAAGGGGTGGCATTTGAAGTTTGATTACTAGGAATTTTTGGTATTTGAAGATTGGGGAAGATTTTGTTTTCTAGGCAGAAAAATTACATCAGCAAAACTGTGTAACTATAATTAACAATTTTGAAATCATTAGGTAAATACCTTATTAGTTTCTGTTCTGGGCCAACCCTTGGATATACACATTTTGCTTTCTGTCACATTAGACATTATTTTCACTAAGCTCAAATTTATAGGGCACAATGCCCAAACTTTTGTAATCTCTTATTTTCCTTTGCTTTTTCTTTTGTTGTCTTTGATTAAAAAACAGGGTATTTTTGAGTTTTTAGGTGGTCTATTATTCCAGACATTTTATATATGAAAAAAAGTTTTTGCAACTTAACATTTCTCCTATTCTGAATTGAGCTTATTTCTCAGCAAGTAAGAGCTACAAACGAAGTTCTGATAAAGTGTGACAGAGCATGGAATTCTCTGTCTTAGAATGATAAGGAAAAAGGTTTTTTTTTCCCCCCATAAATACCATTTGCATTTACAATTCTCAACATGTCTCGAAAGAAAAATGACCTATTTACCCTTAGCCCATTCAACTACTTAGAAAAATCTATAACAAGAATATAGCATCTGGTATGATAGTGTGGCTCAAACAATGACTGGTCCAAATTAAAGATAGATTGTGCATTTATGTGATAATAAGAAATACAAGTTGAATAATTTAAAAGTACATTCCAAGCCCCATAGTACGTGCTTGTAAGCCAAAGGCTCTTACTCTTAGTGATGTAGTTTCCTAATATTGAGCATATTGTTTCCCTTGAAATTGTGTAGGGTAACTTAATAAAATAATGAAATTCACAAGTGGTTTCCTGCCAAGATTTATTTTTCTTTTCCTGCATTAATCACAGTCAGTTTCTACTGAGAGGATGTTTGAAAAATGATAATAACTTTACATGCAGAAAATATTTCTGACCTAATATGACTATATTTATTTGGACTGGCCTCACTGATACTTTTTAATTTGTGCATTGCTTCTTCTAAAAGATTCTTCCTTTTCTAGAAATGGGGCCAGATGCTTTTTGTACTCCTTGAAACCCTTAGCTTAAGCCTCATTCTGAATAATGTGTTCCATATGTTTATTACAATTTGCATGAAATATCTGTGCCTGAGGTCCTTTATTTATTGCAAGTTTCCTGATTTTTAGAACATAACGTTGGGATTCTGAACCTTTGTTGAACCATACTCTCATGGCTTTGATTTCCAGACTATAATTCAGAGCTCCCTCTCTCTGTTTTTCTCTTTTTTCTTTATAAATAAAGGGAGGGCATTGCGATGTGTACGAGTAAGCATGACTTTTATGAAGTCCTTTTTAAGCTTTTACTCTCAAGACCATGTTTGGGGGTTGGTTGGAGGAACCAGATTTTGGCATGCTGAGTTCGAGAAGCTATTTTTCCTTCGAATTCAGGAGAATCATTGCTTCCTGCAGTGATCATTTAAGCAGTGTGTGTGCATTTATGCCCAACCACTGCAAGCCCTCTTGCCCCAGATGTTCTTTCTGCTCTAAACCAGACCCACGCACACATGGTGTTGTCAGTCGTGAGCAGTGAATGTTCGACACTCTCACATGCCTGCACATGAAGCAGCCCTTTGATATGAGTCCCTTTCCCCCTGTTGCCACCTTCCCCTTCAGCCAGAAACAGGACCCTCTCGCAGTGCTGGTGCCACAGGATGCTCCATGGCAGCTTATGTGTGGCGATCAGGGAGCCTGTCTCCTTACCCAGAAAATCCCAGAATGTTTCCTGTCCTCTTTCTATTTTGTTTTAAAATGCTGCCAAAATGAGTCTGATTTTAAAAGCCCAAGTTATTTTGGAAACACTGAAGCGCCTAGGTGTTTCTGAATATTTATAATTGTGGCACAAGCCAATCTGAAACCGAATGAATGTGCATAAAAATATTCCCTCTTGGCTAAGAGCATAAAAGGCAGAGTTCAACTCGTGGTGAATTTTTATTGCCAAGTTACATACACCTCACTGGACCAGAGCTGGTCATGGGATGTTGGATACCATCTGACCCCACAGTGACTGCTGCCCGGTTCACTCTGTGGGTCTAAAGGATACAGGGATCTTTGACGTGTATTTTTAGGGTATTTGTGTGCTTTTAGCAGAAGAAAGTTTGCTTTCTCTAACATAGTTCTACAGACTCACCTTCATGCGTGTTTTTACTAGGAAAGCTGGAAACTATAAAACTGTAACAACGACGCAAAAAATATATTAAAGGGAGAAAAACAAGCACACGGTGCCAAAATCTATAAAGCGTTTCGGTGACTGGGGTGGGAGTGAGGAGCCACTTTTTGATGTTCAGTATTTATACAGCTGCCTATTTAGTGGTAAGAATTCATAGCAGCTGTGATACCTCTAAAACAGGAAACCACCAACTCACTGTATTATTGATATTTAAATGCCTTTTATGTTTTAATCACTCCCCATACAGGAATGTAGAATCCTGAAGAACTTTTCCTCCTTGAGGGCCATCGTTTCGGCGCTGCAGTCCAATTCCATCTATCGCTTAAAAAAGACTTGGGCTGCTGTCCCAAAGTAAGTTCCCAAGTGTCTACTCACCTCTCTTTGGCTGGGTGATTAGTTGCCGCATAAATAGTTTCGGTCCTCACCTTCAAAGCTCGTGTTATATAACTGAAGAAACAGCTCTGAAGCCTCTGTGTGTTGCAGGCAGGTACAGGGTGCATCTCACACATCATCATGAATGAATTTCGAGGTTAGTTGCTGCTGTAGAAATCAGGCTCATTCTCTAAGCCCGCCAAAGCCAAGATGACTGGCTCTGGGGCTGATTGGAAGGATGTGCTGAGCTCTGGGTTTTGAGGGATAAGGTTGTGAAGCGATGAACTTACAACCATTTATCATTACTTCTGGTTATTTTTCAGCCATGTTCCAAAGCCCTAAGTCTTCAATATGTGAGGGATAATGTATGGAGATAGGACATTAGTTCTTGCTGTTCAAGGAATCCATATTAGTTCATTCCTACTTCAGCATGTGGAAATCTATCTTAGTGATATTAAAAAACTCTGATTGTTCCTTCCTTGGTCCCACTGAAAATTATTAACTAGCCACAACCTATATTATTTTCCTGGGTGTAACCTTTGGAACAATGAACAATTTAATGTCCTTCTTATTTCACTGATGGCCTCTCCCCAGTACCAGAACTTCACTTACAGACCAGAGAACTTTTTGCAAAAGAAGCAGAAGGTGGTGAGGGGAAGTTCTGGTCTCACATCAGTGTAGATTTAAAGGCTGGGGAATGGGTCATGGCTTCCAAGGCCAGCTACTTTCAAAAAATCCATCTAAGCGTTGACTAAATCAAGAAGCGAGTCTGTATCAGGAAGAAGTGTAAACTATTTACAGTCTACCATATGTGTTAGAATCAGATAGCCCCTTTTCATCAGGAGAGACCCAGCTGGCTCCCTGAGCAGACCCATCCTTGTGAAATGGGTGAGTCCGTCCTTAGAGTAGAAGGTCTAGCCCTCAGTTTCGTTAGTTCACTCACCATAATTATGCCCAAAGGGACTCACACTATTCAACTTACATGAGACCTAGGTTGGTGAACCAGTTTTTTTGTAAACTTATGCTGCAAAATGAATGCCACTGTACTCGAGCTTACTGATGAGCTCAGATTCTCAAGAAGAGGAAAGTCTTCTTGGGGAAGTCAAATTATTTCTTACTTAATTCTTTGATAGATAAAGAGAAAATGTCTAAGCAGATGCTTTTTGTAGCTGATGTTAAAGAGCTAGAGAAGAAGCCACAGCCACATGGACTCCAAAGCTCATGCTCTCTTTACAATACACTTATCCATTGGCAGATAGGCTTTTCCAAGTTCAGTGTCACTTTCTTGATGGCCATTCTTTTTTAAGGATCCTTTCTCCTGATCCTCATTTGTTTGAATCATCAAGGTGACTCTGTGCTATGAAAGAGGGATGAGTTGATTGATTTTCCTCTCATATACATCTTATGGCAGTTACGTCACATGAAATCATTAGCTGAGAGACCCTGGTAAAATGCAATGGGAACATCATCCTCCACACCCCAGCCCCTTCTTCCCCTTATCACTACTCCCCAATTGTGCTGTCAACAGCACAAGGGATAGTCAGCAAAGGGATAGTCTGGTGGCAAAAGGCAGCCATGTGGGATGGCAGGTGTCTCTGATTGCAGTGAAAGGGAATCCTGTTTCTCTTAATGGGTTATAAATAGAACACAACACCAGGTCACTTAGCCAGCCAAAGATTTCTTCCCCAGCAATTTTGAGGGTAAAACACAAGTGAAAAAAATCAGTGGGCTTGTGTTTTCATCTCCTTGGTTACTGGATGAGAAGGCCCATTCTTCCAGCTGGCTGCTTTAATGATTAAAAAAATAGCAAAACCGTAAAACAGACCTGTAAGCTACATTCTGTACAACGTGGGTCTCTGCTTTATTTCCTAGTTGGCTGGTTTGTGTCTTAGCAGGGACACCCTGGAAGTGTCACAGTTCCTTAAGAGTGGATGCTTCCATATCAGCTTTATGTATTTTCCCTTGTATCAAGGGACGGGGTTACAATATCTTACTTGGTTATCAGTGTCCATACAGCCCTTCAAGTTAATAACTTTCAGTGGCCAGAGAAGACAGCTATTTATTTCTTTTCACTTAGGCCTACATGTAATTAGGTTCTTAGTTATTTTTTTCCAAAATATAAATAGCTTGAATGGTTCTCTTTATTGTAAGAGTAATATGGCACTCATTATAAAACACGTCAGTGCTTAATAATGGCTTTCTTGTGAAAACAGAAGTGTTGCGGATATAATGCTGTTGACCTGCTTACTTCTTTGCCTTCAGAATTGTTTGCCCAGCCACCGGTGAGGGGTCTGTGGAGAAAAGTACACGGCCCATGGAGACTAATAGAATTGTGAGGGGCAGGGCCAACAGTAGGTGCTTTCACATTACGTGGTCCTACCAAGGTTCACAGCAGTCCTTCTCGGGGGCTGTTAGTATTTCATTGTACAGATAAGGAAATTGAAGCTCACTGAACCAGTACCCCTTCTGCTTCCCTTCCCCATCTCCTCCTCCCTCCTCTCTGTTCCCTCTGGTCACCGCTAAATCCTTTCACGTAGCTCAAGATTTATTCCTACTGTATTTTGCCTGTGTATTATTTTTTGGTCACGTGCACATGGAGAAGTGTAAAAAATGGAACCCCAAAATAAAAATTTAAAAATTAAAAAGGGGCCTCCTTGGTGGCCCAGGGGTTAAGTCTCAGCACTACCATCACAAAGCCCTCTGCGCCTGCCTGAGTTCGATTCCTGGCCAGGGAGCTAACCCACATGGCGCAGCAGACCTCTCCTGTCTCGCCCGCTGATCCCCTCAGCAGTGTATTTCAGTAGATCTGCCTGTTCTGCTCCCCACTCTGTCTCTGGTGAATCCTTTCACCCCTGCACCTCTGACCTACATCCCAGTTCTTCTATGCTAAATAAATGAAATAAAAATCTTACAATAAAGGAATAATTCTTTTAAAAATAAAATTAAAAAAAAATCTATCTTCAAGAAGGGTAGAGGGAGATATTTGAAGATCAGGAAAGTCAAACAGGTTGTCCCACATCGCACGGGGAGTGGGAGGCCAAGTTGGGTTTTGAGCCCACCCCTTCTCACCCCAGAAACCACGCTCGTTCCATTTCCATGCCAACTCCAAAAGTAAGAACCCTGGCCTGGGAGCCAGGAAATGTGGGTTCTGTAATTTCAGCTATCCGTAATTCTTAGCAGAAGTGTGGGCAATCCCTGACCTGCCAGCCTCATCTCTAAGCTGGGGGACTGGCCAGATGACCTTGTGGGGGCTGTGGACTGTGTGCGTGTCACTAAGATAAATTCTTTTTCTTTTTTTAACTTGCTAACGTGGGCATGTCCCAATGGAATGACTTAATGACCCAATCTGACAATCCTTTTCCACAATTATAAAGTGCATGGTTGGAAAATACTCCTCATTTCACACAGGTGACCATGTGCACCTTGATTAAAAAAAAGCCACCTATAAGAAAGTGAAAATCAAAATCAACAAAAAACTATGAAATGGAGACATTTTTGGGGGGTGGGGGACGGGAGGGGAGGGATTGGGGTCAGAATGGGGGGCTGCAATTGTATGGGGAATATAAAAATAAAATTTATTATTTAAAAAAAAATAAAATAAAATAATGAGAACCAAAAAAAAAAGCCGCCTATGTAAAAATCTGTCCTTGGTTTCCTCTGTGCGTGTCGCCCACCAGCCCGAGAGCAGCTCTGTCCCTCTGTGGCTTAATAAAGGCCATGGGTACCAAGCACAGCTGGGTCAAAGGTTGTGGGGCTTTTACTAACTCTGCCCTGGTGAATATTTCCTCAATTCTTCTTACAGGGACCGAATGCTGATGTTTGAAGAACTTTCTGATATCTTCTCAGACCACAATAACCATTTGACCAGTCGGGAACTACTGATGAAGGTGAGGCTTTGGGGTCACTGGTGAAGGTTTGGGTGGCACTCCGGGAAGCTGTGGAGTCCTTAAATTCCTTCAGTCCCATGAGAAAGCCTAAAGTAAGGGGGAGGCAAATTTATACATTTCTTTTGCTTTAATCTTAGAAGTTTGGGATTGAGAAAATTTGAAGTCCAGCTCCTTAATTTCACTGTTATATAACCGGATTGTGAAACTACCATTCGTGTGTGTACCTCTTTAACAAAGTGCTCTGCAAATACCAAGTGCTGGCAGTCAGGTGGGTGAGAGGGCCTGGAATATTCCTTCTCAGCAAAACATCTTCTAGAGCCACAGAGTCCAAGCCTGCAATCCCACATCCTTTATTTGGACATAGTTGCACAATCTGTCAGTCAGCAGTGTTTATTGGCTATCAACTGAGCTCTGACTTCTGACTACCAGACCAGGTAAAGGCACTTCTGGGTCCTTTGACTCCTTCAGACTTGTGCTGAAGGCCTAACGTTTGTAACGCATGGACCTACTTCTGGGAATATGAAGATGTCTAACGTGGAGATGGTTTTCAAGTGCTCCCTTTCTAGTTGGTGGATGGAGACACAAAACAAAAAGGCAGTCAAATAGAGAGACCAACATCAGGCCATGAAGGATCATAGGCGCAGAACTAACATAGGCCAGCTACTATCCTCACAACCAGTCTATGAAGTCCATGTTATCAGCCTCATCTTGTTGACAGCCATATCTCAGAGTGATAAGTAACACAGTCTGACTCATATACCTTGGAGGTGTTCTTAATTATAATTAAGAGTAATAAATAATTATAATTAAGAGTTTTTATCACTTAGGCATAAAACTATTTCTTCTGACCATTTGGGAGAGAAAGCAGGGTATAGATAAGGTAGAGTTTTATTGAGAAGGTAAATCAATAATTTTACAAATGTTGATTGAGCATTCACAGTGTGTCAGGTGCTAGAGGTAATAGCCATGTTGATGGCTGTCTCTTAGAGTAAAGAATGTGAGTAGGGCAGTTCATGCTGATGTCTGACTTTGGGTAAGGCCTACCTGATCAACCACACACTGAAAAATGCTGCTGAGATTGTGTTAACTTCCTGCTTCCCATCCCCCTGGATTTGCAGACTTTTAAATGGAAGCTCATCTAGCTGGAAGGAGTTGGCTTAGTGGTCTCCCTGTCAGTTATGAGAAGCTAGACTATCTGGAGCCACACATTCAAATCCCCATAGCTCTGAGTCATCCTTCCAAAGCAGATAAATTGAATCCCATGCAGCTCATCGCCTGGTGGCTGTCTTCTGGCTGAAATCTTAGAAGCAAAGCTATAGCTAGACATTAAAAGCCCCATAAACCTTTCTTAAATGTAGACATCTATCCCAGTGTTCTAAGTGAAATTTCTCATGTATAGTTCAGATCCCCAAGAAATGAAAAACTTGGCTATGTGTTCAAGTAGTCTGTGTATTATCATTAATGATAGTGGAATGCTGGGGCAGCCCGAATGTATACGGAGGTCCCTTTCAAGTTAGCTTTGTTGATCATTCTTCACATATGAAGGATGTAATTCTGGATGTTAGTTCCCAGCACAGTTATAAAAACTGAAATCAACGTACTTAGCGTCTCCTAAGAAACACTGAGAAAAGCTGCCGACTGCTGTTTCTAACATGCCCCTCCTGAGCATATGCTGATTTCTGGTTGGGTTATCCTGCTCTTAAATACCTGTCTTGTCTACATCTGGCTAAATGTCATGTCCCACCTCTGTAATATGATGGCTGAGGCATCAAAATTATCCTTTGAATAGGCTAAGTCAAATTTATATAAATAAATACATAAAATTTTCCTTTTAATTGTTGGAAAAAATGATTTTATCTTTGTTAAAGATTATCTTAAACCTGAAACTTGGATAATCCTATGCAGGTGAATGATAGAGTCCACACATTTCAGAACAGCAGGAAAGCAGAATATGTCCAAATCTTCTTGGTTCTTGGGGCTCTTGGTGAGAATTTTCCCTGGTTGACTTGACATAAACTGCTGCTTAAAAACCCCAGGAACTGGCTCTGGAGATACTATTTGGTGATGCTCTTGATGCACTAACAAAACTCAGAGTGGCGAACAGGGGATTATTAGGACTGAGAAGATCATTTTGAGTCATTACTATTGACTTCTGGGTTGTAATTAACCAATATTGATCAAGACAGAGTCAGTGCCCAGGTAGCACCGCAGTAGAAGCAGCCCCTCTGAGGCCTGAGAGCAGGGTGGAGGAAGAAGGCTGAACTCCACTGAAGTTGGAATTAGAGAGAAAGTGAGAGATTTGCACCAGAGAGAAAGAGAGAGAAGGATCAGGGGTGGGGGAGGGAGGAGATAAGAGGAGAATGAGAAGTCAGTGAAGAGAGGAGAGGTTTGGAATTCATCTAAACATAGGTGCTGATGAAGGTCATGGGATTGGATAGGATTTCCCAGCAAAAAGCAAGGTGACTTTGGCAGGAAGAAGAGCCACTTAGAGAATATGAACTTGAGCAACGGAGAAGGCAAGAGGATAGACCCAGAGGGATGCAGTTACCAAACCTGGGAGAAGTTTCTAGAAGTTCCCAGGGATTGGTATTATGAGACCTTGCAGGGCAAAGACTCAGGGCTGGCAAAGGAAACAACAGATACCGTCTGATGTGGCAACTAGAGGATTTTTCAGTTGACACCTCTTTTGGAAGGTGAGCTCTAGTCAGTTTTCTGAGTTATCCAGCCAGGGATGATAGAATCTCAATCTCGTGAATCACTAAATCCTTCCAGCTCCTTGACACAGGACTTTGCTCTTCTGCCAGTGAGGAGGTTGCTTTTTGAAGTTGGCTCCCATCTCTGTCACTCCGCGATTCCCCAGGAGCCTTTTAACTTTTCTGAAATCATTAGTAAGAATCTTAGATATAGCAATAGTTTCCACACATTATATCTCTGCTGGTGAATAAGAAGCTGGAAGAGAACCCAGAGGATATATACCCTGGAAAGTGGCAGACATTCACATTCAGGTGGGATGGACTTAATTTCTTACTCCCTGCAAATCCTCAAGAATTTGGGAAGACTCCCCCATCCAGCACAGGAACTAGCACCTGTTAAGTTTCTTCTTTCATTTCCTAAGGAAATACCCTTAAGATCAAAGGCTACATCTTATTATCATTTGTAATGGGGAGAAAATAGATAATGGGTCACCCTAGGTTCTGTCCCCGTGGGGTGCTTGGATCTGGGTAACTGGTGACCAGCAGAAGATACGATGAAGCCCACCCCCCCAACATCTGAAAAGCCTGGACACTGAAAAAGAGCCTCTTGAAGCTGCACGGTAGTGACAGGATGATATAATAATAATTCTGGGGGAAACTGACTAAGAGGAAACTAATAGAGATGGGGTTATACACGACTGAATTGTGAAATTTGCCTCCCATTCATACAGTTCCTGGAAAATGAGAACTTAACAAGCCCCTGAAACCACAAAACTGAAAACACTGTGTTCAGTCAGCAAACCTCGAGATTAGTCATTTTGTCGAAGAGTTTGTTGTTACAACAGCAGGGAGGAGAGATGGGGTCGCCATCTGTCCTCTGGCGCCAGGAGGAAGGGCTGCTTTGCCAGAGTTCCCAATCGGAGGGGCGATCTGGGAGGATTGGTTTAGGGGGTAAGAAGTGTCGAAAGGTCGTACTGTACTGCCACTCCAGACTTCCTCAGAAAACTTCCAGTAGAAAAGTTTCATTTAGCTAAGAAACACCACGGAAATAGTCCCTTTTCTTTCACAGAATGCTGGCACATGCATTTTAGGCCAACATCAAGAAATAACAAAATGCGCAGAGGAAGAAATCTTCATTTCCAGGGCATGTGATTCCTTTGAGTGAAATTTGAGGTGTGGTAAAATTGTCTCCAGTTCTGGAAATTGCCTACCTTGTGTGGATGAATGACTTTGTATCAAATAGGGGCTCTTCTTACCAAGTAGGGGGAAGCAGGCTACTCTGAGGTCAGTAGGCCTTATTTCACACAGACACCCCCTGCAACAAGTCAGACATAGTGTGCGCCTGCTGCAAATACGGTCCAGGGCCTGGGGGACTGTGCCTGAAATGAGCTGCCCCTTCACTTCACTTCTTCCTGGAGTTACCCTCCATCCCTCATCTCTGTGTATGCTGCTCTCCCTTAGGAAGGAACCTCCAAATTTGCAAACCTGGACAGTAGTGTGAAAGAAAACCAGAAGCGGACTCAGAGGCGGCTTCAGCTCCAGAAGGACATGGTATGTGGGCCCCCTGCATCCCTGAGCCCACAGAGGGCGGGCCCCACACAAGTAACTGGGCGCCTGGTGGCTGCACCCCCTTCACACTGCAGGGCCTCTGTGTTTTCAAACATTGTTCTCCAGACCTTTATGTTCTCAGCCACCCTCAGAGATTGGTAAGAAAGTTATTAGCACACCCATTTGACACAGTAGGAAATACACAGTAATGGCTGCAAATCTTGTTTTTTAGACCAGATTATTTTTCTGGAGGTAAGGGAACTTATGTTGGAATAAACTTTCATCCCTCTGGTTTGGTTTCTCCATCTGCTCCTACACTTAGAGCCTACCCCTTGGCCTGCGGCCTCACGGGCTTTGGCGTCTCTGTGGGAATGCCTGTGTGGTCAGCTCTGGACACACAGTGGCTGGGGACACAGTGTCTACTCCCAGGAGGACTTGGTCTGTGAACTTGGAGATCTTTTCATTTGTTTCAAACCTTTTAGATCTGTTTCCAGCTCTCCTTACTAAACCCAATGACTAGCCATATCTCTCCAGTATTTGAACCCTCAAAGGACTAGCCTGACTTGCTCCTTAAAACCAATAGGTATTATCATCTTTACCTTTCTTTATAAAGCTCTCCTAACTTTTAGCAGTGAGGGGAGGAAACCAAAGAGATTAGAGACTGGCAAACTAGAAGCCTTGTCTTCCCGGATTGGCTCCAACTTTGGAAATCTCCACGTCAATCAGAAACATTGTTATTGAATGCGAGGGCTCTTCTGTAACATAAAGCCTATAAAACATTCACTGCATTTTTTGGTTGCTCAAAGACAAGTTAAAAATAGATGTTAAAGAGGTTATTTTGGTTCAGGATGAGACCTTGTACACACATAGAGAGGAAGGACAGACCACAGCTGCCAGGAGCTCCTGAAGGACAAACCCTCCTGGTGTGGACCTCACCAAGCCTAGCTGGCTGAGGGAAGGCGGCCTCCCTTCACCAGGCCCGGCCTTGCCCCAGTGAGACCCTATGTTCTTGCCAGAACTTCCGAAAGTGCCTCGGTGGAGCTTCGGATCGGGTGTCTTTCTGTTTTCTCTTTGGAATGGTTAATGCCTTGATGCCTGATGAAGAATAGAGAAGACGTCAAAGAAATTTGGTGAAATTTGTTTTGTATATACCTGCGGTGAAGTACTGCTCCTTTCCTCTCCAAGGAGCATCATTTTTAAATGAACTTTTCATTATAAAATTTGCAGAAAAGGTGCAGGTGGCCCCTAGCACGTCTGTGAAGCCAATTTCCCTCATCGTTAACATCCTCCATAACCAAGCACACTTGTCCCTACTCAGATGCCCTGGGCATCTGAGTAGGGACAAGTGGCGTGTTATAGTTACCTGGCGTGTTATAGTTCACTGAAACCCAGGCTTAATTTGGACTTTGCTAGATTTCCATCCTGTCCTCTCTCCAATCCAGGGTCCGGTTCACTGACCACGTGACATTTCCTCGCCACATCTCTGTGACTGTTTCTGGGCCTTTCCCTATTTTTCACGACCTTGACACTAAGGGATGCTCCCAGTGTCTTGTCGAACGTCCCAACTTGTCTGTTGCCTTTCTGGTGATTAGTCTGAGTTTGTGGGGGTTGGGGACGAATAGCACAGAGTGATGTGCCCTTCTCAGCACATCACTCCAGGGAGTCCGCGCTCTCAGCATGACATCTGGTGTCACTGCAATGTTGGCCGTCCTCACTTGGTTAATGTGGAGTTTGCCAGGTTTTCCACTTTCCCCCTTTTTCCTTTGGAAGCTAGTCACGAAGTCTAGTCCAAGGGGCCATTTGAACAGCGATGCCCCAGCCTCCCCTGACCACACTTTCCCCAGTGGGTAGCGGCCCTTTCCTTTACCAGCAGCAAAGCCACCCTCGGTGGGGCCACCCCAACCGGCGGGAGTGTCTGAGTCTAAGGGGAAGATAAATTTTCTGTGGACACACTTGAACGTGCTTGTATGATCTCCTGGCCGTTGAGGCTTGGTTGCCACTCCCTGTCCTATGTGTGCAGGAATTTAAAACATTTCATTTAGGCCTTGAATGATCCTTAAATATCCTCCAGACACCATCAAGGCTTACCTGGCTTCAGGGTTGCTGTTTCCAGCTACAAATGGGCGAGTTGTTCAGTGGCACCACTTCAATGGTCCACTTGCTCCATCGGGGAACAAATAAAACCCTAAACTTTTCAATAGCATCAGAGACATTTTCCTGTGTTTGCTTTCCAGGGGGTGATGCAGGGAACTGTGCCCTACCTGGGCACCTTTCTAACCGACCTGACCATGCTAGACACTGCTCTTCAGGACCATATTGAGGTGAGTTCTGTGCCAATGCTGAAATGCGACCTGCACCTGCTCTCTGCCCCCTGAGAGAGAAATTCTCTTGCATTGGCATTGGTGAGAAGCCGTCATATACGTGACATTGTGCTAGATGTGATGAGGGACACAAGGACTCACCAGGTGGCCACTTTCCAGTGTAAGGTGGATACCCACGGTGACAGAAGTTGGTAGAAATAGTAAGAACACAAACAGAAATGCAATGAGAGAGAAGAGGAGGCCACAGTCAGTTCCACAAGAGGAAACATGTGGCCAGGTCTGGGGAAGGGGTGGGTTTGAGCAAGACCTGCTGTTGAGTAGGACTTTGGCAGGTGGAGTCAAGGGCATAGTGTGGACTAGCCCATGTTGCGCTAGGAGGGCAGTCAAGTTGGTGAATTTTCAGGTGTTCCTTTTTCTTTTTCTCCTCCACCCCCGTTCCTTTTTCTTTTTTATAGCAGTACCTATTTTAAGGCACCCCAGGGCTCCTTCTTTCTTTCCTCCTTCCCACCTCTCCCATCTTCTCCCTTCCCCCTTCCTCTCCAATGTGAAACCAAGTCACAAAATACCCAGCTACTTGCAGTAATAAAGCATTAAGTAGAGAAGAAATCTGGTCTTTGGAGTGAGATTACAGAATTGCTTGTATATTACAGTCTCTCGCTGTCTGGGTATCACATGTGATCAGCGTTGACTTCACCACTGCTAGGAGTAATCATTTCGCTTAGATTGTCTTTGTCATGAGCATTCCCTCTGGCATGCTGTTCACTGTGCATTTCCTGAGTTGGGTGTCTCTGTACATCCTCTACCTCAGCTTATCTCAGGAAACACTCATTGGTGTTAGGGAATTTGGGGGCAGTGACCAATGACTTAAAGGTTCAATCAGCTTATGGAGAAGAGGAGCTGGGGTGGGGGATGAAGAATTGAAACTTCACTTTTCATGATGCTGTGTAGAAGTGACTTCCCTTCTGATAAACCATTGACAGCCCGGTTTCTAGTGTGAGTCAGGGCCCATCTGTTTCTGTTGCTTTCGGTCAAGGAAAAAGTATAATGGAACATTTACTCAAGCTTTTGCCTTTGCTGGCTCTGCAGATGTATTTAGATTCTGATTTGTCACTCCTTTATCATGACTGTTTTAGTTGGTTTCAGACACTTGAAGAGAGGGCTGGCTGCCTCTCCCGTTATATTATAATTAAAAGGAGGATATTCTGGAAGCCAATGATGCATCTCCTCCTCCATAGTATCCCTAATTGGAGTATCATTAATCATTGTGACTGTATCACCACACTTGATCTATTTTCATAACACCTAGAACAACATAGACTTGTGTTGCAAAGTGATTTGATTTTGTCTTTTTTTTTTTAATTTCTTTTAGGGTGGGCTGATCAACTTTGAAAAAAGGAGAAGGGTAAGAGATCTTGTGGTTTTCCATTTTATTTCTTCTGGGTACAATGAAATGAAAGCAGTAAGGGCTTAAGTTTATTTGTGGAGGCAGATAAAAAGGGAAATAGCATGTGTTGAACATTTATCATATACCACTGTGTTTGGCACCTTCCTATGTATCATCCCCCAAAAGCTCCATGAGGGGCCTTTGTCATCCTCACTTTAAAGGCAAAGAAACCAGGGGTTAGAAAGACAACATGACTTGATCAGGGTCTCTCAGTAGCAAAGCCAGGCCTCAAATCCTGTGCTGCCCTCATTTCTTTCCTTAGCCCTCTCTTTTCCATCTTTACAAGAAGCATCAGCAGTAACAGGTTCACACTATTAGGGAGAAGGGATTGCATGAGGATAAGTGACACAGAAGAGTTAATAAAGATGGCCAACTCCTGTGGGTCTGTTTACGAAAGGAAAAGGAAGGGTCTTTTTGTTCCATGAGGATAACTATTCTTTCCCTTTCCTGTCAGCATAGGACGGAGTGTGCAACATCAATTTGAATTTTTCTGTGGCTAGTAGAGTGGGGTGGTATACACTCAAAAAGATACAATGGAGTTTTGAAAATTTGTTATAGGTTTAGTGTTAAAATGATGTATTTAAATAGACATTTAAAAGGCCTCAGGGAATATGAGTGAGCAAAATAGTAACTTCCCCCCATAGTACTGTCACTGTTCTTTAGTCATTCATTCACACTTTCATTCCACAAACACTGACTGCAGACCAGCCAGGGTCAGGCCCTGTGGTAGGTTTGGGGACTGCAGCAGGGGGAACCCAGAGCTGCCTGCCCTCAGAGAGCTCACATTCTAAGAGGAAGGTGGACAGACAGACAGGCAATTATAATACAGTCTAATTAGGGCTGGTGGGCAGAAGTTGTAGGTCTTATAGGAACACATAGTAGGGGGGCATTTACCCCCAACTTGGAGGGGGCTGTCAGAAATTTCCAGAAAAAAATGACATTGAAGTTGAAACCCAAGCTTCAGGAGCTAGCTAGGCTGAGCTCTTTAGTAACAATACACTAACCAAAAAATATATGTAAGTCCTCTGTTTCTGATGGAGTGTATTTCTTCTTTAGCATGTTGATAAATGTTCCTTCAGGAGTCAGAGAACAAGGCTGGGTTCATAGGGTGGGAAGTTGGCACACAGGGAATCTGCCCATTGTTGAGTCACCTCTGTTATGTCCTGTTAGGAAGTTCAGCTGTTGCCCCCACAGTTCCCCCCATCTTTGTCCTTTAACGTTAGAATAACCCTGGATAGTGATTCTCTTTTCTTTTAAGACTATATGTTAAATTTTTAAAAAGTTTGAGTATAAGACCTAAAGCTAAAGTTGATACCCATTTCTGATTTAAAAATATATATATATAAGAATCTAAAGAAGTATAAATAATTGTGGACATAATTGTATACTTGCTTCTCTTGTGAGCTTTAAAAGACTGAGTTAAATGATTTACGGGAGTAATAAAAACCCAAGGATTTGGGAAATCTAAACATTCAAGTTTATGAGGCCCTGGACTGTTTAGATATTCAACCTTCCCAAACTTATTTATTGAGGGGTAAGAGTTGAAGAAAAATGGAGGTGGAGAACTTGGAAGCTTCCTGACAAAGTATTTTTTTCTTTCTCTTGTAAGAAATGGAAATAAAAAATTTTAATATATTTGAAAATATATTGAACATGGCTTTTCTCTCCCTAGAAAGAAAATGGGAAAGGGAAAGCAAAGCCACTATGACCTTAGGTAGTGACTAGTTAGGTTGCTTTGGGATCTTGTTTTATTCATATCAATTATTTTTCAAGAAGAAAGCAAGGTAGACAAACCATACACAGACTTCAGAGATTCAGAGTTAGAATGTTTAAGTTCTACAGTTGTTTTATTTCTAAGGGAGGTTGCACTTTAAAGTCCTCCTAGATGGTTTTCTCCATCATTTATCCTAATGTGACATTTTTCACATTGAAAAGATGTATATTTAGTTGACTCTTGTTCCTTATTTCTTTCTGGTAATCTATCTGCTTTAGGAATTTGAAGTGATTGCCCAAATAAAGCTCTTACAGTCTGCCTGCAACAGCTATTGTATGACCCCAGACCCGAAGTTCATCCAGTGGTTCCAGAGACAGCAGCTCCTGACAGAGGAGGAGAGGTAGGCTGATCTGTTGTCCTTCAGGGTGGAGCCACAGGGCTGCCCTGGGGAATTCTCCATTCACTTGCTCACTTGGCCCTGGATGCAACAGGTCTTTAGTGAGCAACTACTAGGTTGGAGCATGGCATTGCAGGAAAAGCTGAATTAATGACATCAGAAGATGTGCTTTCAGATTCTCACTTAAGAGGATTAACTGAGATCACCTTTGGAAAAGCATTGATAAGAGCTTAGCATTGTCACCACCACCATCTCTGTCACTGTTTTTAACTGCTACTGGTTTTTAAAAAACGTTCCTTTGGGGAGGAGAGACAGACTTATGAAGAATTGAAGCATGATGGGTAACCAAAGTGTTGTAGAATCTATGGGCAGGAACAAGTGATTTGGCTAAGGATGGGGGTAAATGGGGAAAAAATCATAAAGGTGTTCACGTTGGGCCTGGCTACGAAGGAAAGAAAAGATTTCAAGAGGAGAACTAGCAAAGCACATCCCCGGAGCAAGGCCTGGGGCCTGACACTCTGGGCATTTGGAGAAGCTGTGAGAGTTCTGGCATAACTGGGACAAAAAGGACAGGTCTGCAAATCATGATTGACAAGCATGGAAAGGTATATAGTACTGACCCAGCATGGGGTAGGGGGTGTTCATCCTGTAAGTCAACCCCATATCAGCCCCACCACCTGTTTTTACATTTTTAAATGTTGAAAAAATAAAGAATATTGTGATATGAGACCGTTGTTTGAAGTCAAATTTTAGCATCCATTGAGAAAGTTTGATTGGAATGCAGGCCATTCATTTATATCTTTTTTATGGTTGTTTTCATGTTTTAAAGGCAGAGTTGGCTGAATGTGAAAAGCCCACATGGTCTACAAAGCCTAACATACTTACTCTCTGTCCTTTATAGGAAAAGTTTGCTGATCTCGCCTGTAAACAGGGAATTTTCTTGAAAGTTTGTCATCAAGGACAGTGAAGTTGATAGCAAAATAAGTATTTGCCAATGGAGGAAATTGAGGTTTAAAGAAAAACTAACTAGTTGGTGATAGAGTTTGAGCGTGTCTTATTCTACCACCTAAGCCCTGAAGATAGTCGGATAATGTTGGGCAGATCATGTAACCACTATAAACCTCACTTTTCTCATTTGCCAGACAGGTGATTTTTGACTTACATTTTCTTAATCCCGGAGTAGATTTGTCCTGGTCCTTTAAAACTAAATCTTTCATCATTGATTTATAGTTGCCTGCTGATTTTTTTTTTTTAAATTATTTATTTATTTATGCAAGAACCAGGTACAGGCCAGATGCACAGGAGGGTGAGAGGATTCACCCAGAGACAGAGTGGGGAACAGAACAGGCAGACTGATAAAATACACTGCTGAGGGGAGCAGTGGGCGTGACAGGAGAGGTCTGCCGCACCACGTGGGACCCTCGCCTGCCGGCCAGGATCAAACCAGTACTGCAGAGACTGTGGACAGCTTCACAGCGCTATGCTCAACTGCCTGTGCCACTAGGGGAGGCCCACCTGCCGATTTTTTTTATAATTATTGTTATTATTTTTTTTGTAATCCCTTATTTGATTCCCCTATAGTCCCCCTATAGGAGAAACCATCCTATATTTTTCTTTTTCCTTCTGCCTTATTTCACTGAGCATAATCCCTTCTAGCTCCATTCATGTTGCTGTGAATGGCATGAGTTTATGTTTTTTGATTGCTGAATAGTATTCCATTGTGTATCTATATCACATCTTCTTGATCCAGTCATCTATTTTTGGGCATTTGGATTGTTTCCATGCCTTACCTGTTATAAATAGTTCTGCAATAAACATAAAGGTGCAGGTATCTTTTTGAATTAATGTTTTTTTGTCCTTTGGGTAGATTCCTAGGAGTGGAAATTAACAGGCAACTATAAATCAGAGAACTTCTGCAGGGGAGGGGGAGGCAGAGGGATCAAATCAGGGGAGGGAATAGCACAAGGGACTATAGTGATGGTTCACAGGTGAATTGGTGGTGGGAATTTTACAGGGACTACAACTGAGAGGAGAAAGTATATATTGTACAAAAATGAACAATGATGTAAATATATATATATATATATTTTAAAAAGGCAAAAAAAACCCTAAATCTTTGATCACAGCACTCATCAGTTGGCGAGGTTTATTCCTTGCCATGCAGAAAACAGTCATTGCCTCGCTTTACATTTTCTGTCTAATGCCCAGTTCGTGAGCTAATTTTCTCTCACAGATGCATCCTTCTGACATATGAGACACACAGACCAGGGCAGGTGGTTTGCATCATGAGAAAGCCCAGGCTCAAAATATCAGCTATGTCATTGACTTTTTAGTGATTATAGGGATAATATTTAACATAATCCATTTTCTTGCTATTTATAAAAATTCCTGCAGCTTCTGTTAATATATGAATAATGTCTATATCAATATTCCATTTAAGTAAATATCTGGAGACACCTGCAGGTCTTAAAAGAAGGGGGGCACATAATTAACATAGCAAGCTAATAGTCCCCAAACTTACAATTCCCCACCTACCCAGGTTAAATATATCTACTAGCTAGAGCTAGAGCTTTGATAAAAGCTCTTTCAAATCAGATATAAATTCCTCTTGTGCTTCTGGAAGTTTTATCTGCCTGACCTTAGGTATCTGATTCTGGAGCATTTTTAATGTTGGATGCTTTGCTATTGAAAAAAGCATACTGATAGACCTTACTAATAATATAGTTGCATTGAAGGTAGTTTACAAAAATCTCTTCTTCCATTTCCCTTAGATAAAAGGGAAGCTGTGCAAGGGCACGTATGCAGAGTACCAGGAGGGAGGCAATGGAAAGAAATGGCTCTTCCACTAGCCATTGTGGTGGGATGAGAATGATGAGGAAACAGAATGGTATTGGTCTTTGATTCTGCCAAAGGACACAGCCCATGTTTTTGTGGCATGCATAACTGACTCCTTCAATCACGTGCCAGTGTGGGGAGGAGGGGAGGAAGCACTTGCAGAAATATGTAAACTCTGGCCATGAAGTCAGGCTGGCCTTTATGGTGGAACAACCCAATATGTATCAACTTTGAATAATCAGATCCTTCCTCTATAACAAGACAAGCATATCTGGTGAATTTATGTCTGTCTTCGCTTCTCAAGCCCTGAGCTCATGAGCTTCTTCTCTCCCCAGCTATGCCCTCTCCTGTGAGATTGAAGCTGCTGCAGATGCCAGCGCCACCTCACCCAAGCCTCGGAAGAGCATGGTGAAGAGGCTTAGCCTGTGAGTGTCATCCTAGGGCCCCCAGAGGGTCTCATCAGAGGGGCAGAGAGGAAGTGTATTCAGCAGGGTCTCCCTGAGCCACAAGCAAAGCGAAGAACAGCGGGCTGATTTGCTAAATAGCTTACCTTTCTGTCATGAACTCAACATATTTCCAGATCCACTCATTCTTCTGCATGGTTCTCTCTGGTTCATCTCCACTTTGGCCCACTGCAGCAACATCCTTACTGATTTCCGGCCACATCCTGACCCAGCCATCCCCACACCACCAAGTGGCCTGGTAGTCTTTTCAAGTGTACACCAGAGGATGCCACTTCCTTGTTTACAAACCTCCAGTGGTTTTATTTGAAGTAGCATGCACACACCTTATCTCTAGGCCCTGCCTGATCTTCCCCCAGTCTTCATGATCGCCTTCCTCTGTCCAGCATCCCCCACTTGTCCACCTAGATCCAGCCACACTGGTCATCTACCCATCCTTTAATGACCCGCACCAGACTTGTTCTAACTGTGGGGCCTTTGCACTGATGTTCTTTTTCCTGGCATGCTCTTCTCCATGGCTGACACCTGCCAGTGTTGGCAGAAAGGTCACCTCCTGTGGGAGCATCCTCTCCACTGTGCTGTCTACCCTGATCACTCTCGGCCATACTGGCTGTTTCCTCCAGGGGCACATGAGTCACCTGAGAGTAGGACCCTTGTCCCTCATACTCATGACTGTGCTTCAGCAAACGACACCACCTATAGCTAACTCCATAATCTCTTCTCTTGGAGTCCAATCCAAATCCTTACCGTGGCCCTCAAGGCTCTTTGGGATGAGCAGCAGCATCTCACCTCATCTGCCATCCACACCTGTCTGTCCTCACCTTTCCTCACTCTGTAGTCTTTACACTTCAACCACCCACCCTCCCCGGGACATGTTGCAAATTCTCCATTTCTCACTCCCTCACTTCCCTCAGAGCTTTGCTGAAAGTTTCCCCTCCCAGTGAGCCTTCCCTGACCTCCTTATTTAACACAACTATTTGCCTCACCTGCCCTTGGGCAGCCTCTCTCAGCCTTGCCTACTGTGATTTTCTCCATTGCATTTCACTTCCATGTGTCACACTGCATTGTATGTCACTGTCTAGCACCTACAATGCAAACTCTGTGAGGACAGGTGCATGTACGTCTGTGTATTTGCCCACTCACGTAGACCCCGATCCTTGAATGAGGCCTGCTCGTAGTAGGTGATTAATAAGCATCCAGTGAATGAATATTTGAGCATGTGCCCACAATATATATGTTTCTCATCCTGTCCACAAAGCAAGCTCACCCGTAGACCCTACTATTATACCCTCTTTCTAAACCAGGAAAGGGAGGCACAGGCAGGGTAAACGGTATGTTATCATCAGAGGATCTGGATTTAAACCCAAGATTTGACTATAGCACCAAGTTGATAAACTTTTACCATATTGACTCTTAGAAAAATAATTTCTGAAAGAAGAGAGGAAGGAATGGTGAAATGGGGGGTGGGAGAAAAGAGAAGAAGGAAGGCGAGAGCATGAGGGGGTGGGAAGAAAGTCAGAGGGACAGTTCGTTGGACCCTGTGCTTTGATTGTGGTGTTTTTTGTTTTTTTTTTTATAGATGAGCCTTAAGATGACCTAGTGTCTGTCATTGGTCTCTGAAAGACATTAATTAAGCTAATGAATCTAATGAAGCCTAAAGAGGTTACTTCAAGGACACAAGGATAGAACAATTTGATGAGTCAATTAGCCCTTTTCTTCTGAAGACATCCATCTGTGTCTGATCTTTTGGGTGACACAATCGTCTCTGGCCACAGACCAGCAGGAATAGTGACAGGGCCTCTGTGGCCTCTTCAGGGCACAGTGGGCTGGAGAAGCCAGGCTGGCCTAGGAGATCCCAGCTGTGCCGATTGTTTGTGGTGTGAACTTCTGTTTTGTGATTCATGAGGGGAGACTAAATTGTCAGGACCATGGACATAACACTCCTTAGCGGTACCCAGCTGTCACTGGTGCCTGCAAAACTACCATTATTTGTTACAAAACAACTTTCTGTTGCTATCGCTTTCACTCTTATGTTTGAGGGGTGGGAGTGGGGGTGGGCTTGGAATTTTGACTGTTTTTATGGGTTTTCACACTTCCCAGCACCAAACTTCATCACCCTCTGAGTCACACTGAGACCTGGAGCACGTTGGCACGTGGCCTTGGATCTGGCCATGTTCGTGAGGCCTGTACAGACCCTTACTGGGTGTGGATGGCGTGGTCTGCTTTCAGTGGCAGCTCGGACTTCTACTTCATGTCAGGTGATCGGAGGCATTTGAGGATTAGGTTGGAACATGTGATTTTGTAGGCAGCCTTGTGAAGGTAGTTCTGACGTCTTGCCAGACCTCTCTTTGTTCAGATGCCTGCTCTGGCTCTCCTGTACACTAGATTTATGAGCTTCTAGAGTCATTTCTATGGAATGTTCCACAGTCATGCTGTCTTTTTCACTGCTGCAAATATGGGGAAGAACGAGCTCTCTTGATCTCACCCAAGTGTCCCAGCCAAGCCTTGTCAGCTGGTGAGGTCCACACGCACACACAGGGAGGCAGATTCAGACAGGTGCATCCGGAAATGTTGGTATCTGATTGGTTCTCCTGCATCAGAAAGAAATGGAAATTTCCAGACTTTGTATGGCAGTTAGATGTTTTAAGGAATAAGTATCTCCGCACAATTGGTCTAATCCTAAGTACTATTGCTTTTGCTCCCTAGCTCTTCGTCCTTGTCCTCAGGTAGTGGCTACCTCACACTCATTGTTCTATAACAGCTTCTCTTCTGCAACCCAAATATCCATATTTATTATGCTGGGTGTTTGGTTGTCCCTGGGTCCTCTCTCTGCACCAAGTCTGGGACAGAAGTGCATGGTTTCTGTGAGAACACTCGTGTGAAGTCCTGGAGAGGCAGGATTTGGGAATACAGGACCATCCACAAAGTGAGATGGGTGGATACTCAGACCATCTTAGAAGTAAAGTTTTGCCAAGATGCTCACTTTAACCCTTGGTGTCTGCAATTGAGTTTGAACATTTATTATGAAAACAAGTCACATGTCCCCTGTCTTATTTCTTGCTCATACAAAATGTGTGTTATTCATTTCCAAAAGATATTATTTTTACAAATCTGGAAAATATAGTTTTGCTCTCCCCACTATTAAGGACTCATCGTCCAAAGAGGCTGGAGAGGATTTCAGAACCTTAGGAGGTGTGTGGGGGGATGAAGGTCAGAGATACTACTGTGGTGCCAGAATCTTCACAGAGCAGGGAGACCTCATTGAATTGTAGAACCTTTGGTCTTTGAACAATTTTGTTGTAAACCAGAGACTCAGATAATGGGGTGAGGATCACTAGTTCACGACTCTCAAAGGTTCTGCGTTGTAACTCATGGAGCAATCTTCTGACTTTGGTGTTTGCTTTAGAGAAGTCTGACATCTGTTTCATTTCATTACTGTTCTTTGGTAGTGTGCCCCTACTCCTGTTGCTTTTAAGAACTTCCCTGATATGCCCTTATGCAGTTTAAGTGGGGTGTCTGTATTATTTACTAGATAATAATGCAATTTATTATTTATTAGTCTTTTCAAGATGTCATTCCTGGATCTGAGGATTCATGTGATTCTTTATTTCTGGAATCTTCTTAGTCACCATTTTTCAGATATGGTCCCTTTTCTTTCCTCTCAGATGTCTCCTTCTGGACTCTTTTTACACAAATGCAGGCATTTATTACTCTACTCTTTGTATCTTTTAACCTGTCTTATTTTTTTATGTCTTTTTATTGTTGATGTTGGTTTTGGAGATTTTCTTCAACTCTATCATCATTTATTTGTTTGTTTATTTATTTATTTATTATTTATTGCATATAAGAACTGGGGTGTAGGCCAGAGGTGAGGGGGCTGAGAGGATTCACTAGAGACAGACTGGGGAGCAGAACACGTGCTAAGGGGAACAGCAGGTGAGACAGGAGAGATCTGCTGCGCAATATGTAGGTTAGCTCCCTGGCCGGGATTGAAGTCAGGCTATAGTAGTGATAACACTGAGGCTTAATTAACCCTTAGGCCACTAGGGAGACCCAGATCTATCATCTTTTAAACAATTGTTCTCTTCAACAGTTATTTGTGATTTAATCCTGCCACTGAGTTTTTAATTTAATCATATTTTTCACTCTAGTAGTGATTTTTTTTTCAAATTATCTCCCTGTTCTTCTGCTATCGAGTATCTTGTTCTTAACTCCTATTTTCAGTTTCTCCTCTTAAGTTTATAATATTTTTAAAACATACTTATTTTATAGCTTGGCTCATGGTAGGCACTCAAATGTTTGTCAAATGAACGAATGAACGAATTTGTTTCTTTCTGGCAGTTCTTGTATCTGAGGTTCTGAGAGATATAAGCCTGTTATTTGTTTACATTGACTATCTTTTCAGGAGGAAAATTTCTTTGTGTGCATTTTCTAATTTTACATTATCAGTTCATCTTTATCAGGAAATTCTCTGTAGCTTGAGCTGAAGGCATATTCTTCCAGAAAGATTTCTTTTGAGAATTTTAGTTCCTCTGGGAATCTCACTGACCTGAGGGTGCCTAATTCCTGGACCACTTAGGTAGCAAATCCAAGTGGAATGCTAGTCAAGACCACATATGATTTCAGGGAAAAATTTTCTTCCAGCCAAACTCAGGCCAAAGCTTCCCAGTTTGGTTTCATGGGCCAGTAGGAAGATACTTTCTAGCCTGGCTTTTTACTGAGGATACAGCCTTGTATACAAGGCTTTTTACTGAGGATACAGCCTTGAGAGTCATCATTCTGTCTAAGGGTTTTCAATTCCAACTCCTCCACCCCATACAAACAGAAACCCCCATCTTTAGACCTCTGTCTGTGCCAAAACCTATGTCCCTAGTTTGCCAAGACTGATGCCTCCCACTCTCCACCCAGAGCAGCTGCAGAATTAACTCACATGCTTCTGGCTTTCACTTCCCTTTTGTTTCCTGTCTATCGGGATTTTCCTTACTATTTAGCAAATTCAACTTTAGAAAGACTATTTAATGTTTCTTATCTGGTTTTTTTTAGTGAAGAGAGTTAGTTATTGTAGTTCACCAGACTTTGGGAAACAAAAGTATTCCTTGTTGGTTTCTTTCTTTTTTTAAAGATTTACTTATTTATTTATACAAGCACTGGGTACAGTCAGAAGCACGGGAGGGTGAGAGAATTCACCAGAGCCAGAGCGGGAAGCAGAGCAGGCAGAAGGACCGAAGTACTCTGCTGAGGGGAGCAGCGGGTGGCAGGAGAGGTCTGTGCGCCATGTGGGACCCTCGGTGGTGGCCGGGGATCGAACCAGAGCTGCAGAGGCTGCGGGCAGCTTCGCAGCCCAGCACTCAACCACTGCGCCACCAGAGGAGGCCCTCCTCATTGGTTTCTTAGCCAAAAGAGTGGCAGTCTTCTTCAGCCTCTTGAAGTTCATTTTATGGTGAGAAATGATAAAGTTTTAGTGGTGGGATTTTGATCCTGCCAAATGGCTTTAGGCTGTGAAACAAATGGAGACATTGACCTAGAAAGACCCCAGATTAATATGGTGTCTCATCCTGCTAAGCAATCTGTTTGTTCTTTGAGGTCGAAAATAACCTATTGGGACAAGATGTGAACTAGGATCTGTTCAAACCTTTATAGCAAATGTTTTCTAAAATAATAACAAGAGGGCATGCAAGAATGAGAAAACATGAAGGACTTAATTAACACAAATGCTTAATCAAGAATTCCAGATTCATAAGAACCCAAATCTCTGGCTTTATGTTTTGTGCAGGCTATTTCTGGGCTCGGACATTATCACCAGTAGCACTCCCACCAAAGAGCAGCCCAAGTCCGCAGCCAGTGGGAGCTCTGGAGAAAGCATGGACTCGGTCAGCGTGTCCTCCTGTGAGTCCAACCACTCCGAGGCTGAGGAGGGCTCCATCACTCCCATGGACACACCCGATGATCCTCAAAAAAAGGTATAGACCTACTCCTTTTCCATAATTCCCAATAAAGGCACAAGTGTTTGCCACATGAGGAATGTGTTTTCAAGTATATTTATGTGTCCATGACAGGTACAAATGGGGAATCCCATGTGTTCCTCAGAGAAACAGGTCTCAGAGCAGTGAACATGGTGGTTTCTTCACCTAGCCTTGGATGTACAGTTCTATACCCACATCCAAAGGCAACTGAAGACTTGGGACTCTTCATTGGGTTATACTTTATTTAGAAGTTGTAGGATGCTCTTAGAAGAAGCAAAACAGTCAGGTGGTGGAGCTGTGCCAGCTTCTTGGTGTCATACCTGTTGCAGCCAGGCCTTGACCACTGTCACACAGCAAACCACTCTGAAACACAGAACTTTAAACACATGTGTTCTCTCATGAATCAGCAGCTTGGGTGGTTTGGGCTTGGCTTGGCCCTAGGCCATGGGTTTGGCCCAGGTCTGCTCAACCTGCCTCTTCCTCTTTTTGAAATAGTGGACATACTTTTAGCTTGCTAAGGCAGATGGACGAGAAAGTGAACAATCCCTGCAGGGAGATGGCAGTTTCTCACATGGGTCACATCTGCCAACATTTTGGAGGCCATAGCAAATCGTGTGGCCAAGTCCCAGATAAATAAAGATGCCAGGAACTACACTGCCTTCCTTTGGGAGGAACTACAGAGTCACTTGGCAAAGGCCGTGGATGCAGGGGAGGGTGAGGACTTGGTAACAACATACAGTCTACTCTGTGCCCCCAAATGGAAAGTGATGAAAGGTAGTACATTCCCACAGAGACTTGCCATTTTCCATGGCTGTATATATAAAGAAAAAAAAAAAAACCCAAAATATTCATCTTAATCTTCTCCACACCTCTGCTTCAAGGAGCTTAGGTCTGAGACATCTGCTTTGACAGGACTAGACTCTGCTGTTCTGGGAAGGTTTGACCAGACTTGCTGTGTAAGCGTCTTCTTAGATGGCCCCTTAGATGGTGCTTAGGCTGGGCAGGTCGACTCTTGGTAGCATCCCTGTTGGCTTGTATCTCCCATTCTGTAAGGGACCCACATAGCAACAACTGTGAGGGAGCCCTCCAGTGACCTCCCATGACCTGGTCAGCCAGAGACCACTCTAGGAAGAACTCTTCAGACTCAGCTGACTCAGGTGACTCACCTGCTGGACTTGTCACCTTTCTGCCTGGATTCCAGGGCACGCCCTCCCAAGCTCGAGGGAAGAGCTGTGCAGACGCCCAGGGCTGCCAGTGCTCACAGGCCTGCTTCCCAAGCCAGGGGTGTGGTCATTCTCCCTGATGATGCAGAAGTGAATGTATCAAAATCAGTAGTGGGGGAACCACTTTCACCTTTAGCTGGTTCTGATACTTGGAGGCCGGTGTGGATGGCAGACAGTGTGTGAAAGTGACAGCTGAGGTAGTGCTGCATGCTTGCTGGGTTTTCCCCTCCCCAGCAGTGTGTAGAGGAGACCTAGGTCCAGACCAGCCCTTTGACAACTCTGCAGACACCCCTGTGGTGTGTGATTCTGGTCTCCTCCCTTATCATACCGACTCTTTTATTCCTTACGCAAGTCATGAATTTTTATCCCTTGGATGGACCTTTCTCCGAGTCGTGAATTTCTCTAGCTTAAAAATGAATGGTTGACTCAGTTACTGGGCTGCATAATCCCTGCGTGTTAACAGGAAAGGTGTGGGTCCTGCTCGGAGCAGGTCTAGACCCCATGATCTCCACGGCCCCTTCCCCTCTGACCTGCATGCTCCCACCCCCACCTCAAAGTCTCTTCTAGTGAAGGATCAGGTACCTCTTTTTCCTTCATTCCCCTGATCATGATTTCTAAACGTTGATTTTCATAGTGTTCCTCATTACTTAGATTTTCAGTATGAATTGGGGGCTCACCAGCTGTTCTGTTTAGAACTGCCACAGCCCAGGCTGCCCCCAAGACTTTATCTTAATTGTCATTAAAGTCATGGAAAATCTAAGCAAGGAAAAAGAGTTTACGTAGAGGGAAAAGGAAGAGGAAAAAATTGTATCCGTCATCACCCTCTTGGTGACTATACGATACTGACAAAGCAAAGTTATGCTGTTAAAAAGAACCACATCAGCCCTCAGATTGAGCCACTAAGGCTATTCCCTGGGGAATATAGGACAAATGTACCCAAACTACAGCATGTTGAAGCCATAGCTAGACTCCCCAATATTAGAGTTGTCACATGAGCCTGCTGATTCTAATTAAACTAATCATCATTCAGTAGAATTTAATGCTGTAGGGAGAAGTCCGTAGGAAAGAGGAGATTCCATTTTACTTGGAAGCCAGATAATCAGAAAGCTAATTTCTAGACTGTTTATACATTGATTTCTATCAAAGAGATTAATATGTCACTTATTTTTTAAATGGCTTCTAGATATTTTATAGGTAATGTGGTATAATTTAGCTGAGCTCATTTTTAGAAATTTTTTGTACCTTTCTACAACAAGAATTCATGTTTAAAATGAGTCCATTTAATGATTATGGGAACGCGTTCTAGAGCATTTGGGGCATGCTTGTTCTCTTGTTTATATTTGCACATATGACAACCATGTCGTCAATGAGGAAAGCTTGTGGACTATAGCAGCTCATTCCTTAATTACCCTTGATAAGCAACATGGAAATGCGTGCAGTGGATTCTAACAGCAAATGTGGAAGGTGATGGAGCTTCCTAAGGCTGCCTCTGTAGAAACAGAGCCTCTACAAATGGCTCTGTATCTCTTATTTCCCTAATCTTTAGATTGCTGGACACTTTGTTCAGACAGTTGTGAGATTAGAATGAGGTAAGCTATAGGAAAATTTGTCTTAAAAATTAGTGCTCTGCATCATTGGGGAAGTATCATCCTCAGTGCATTCACTGTCAGGGTCAGCCACAGGGGCCTTCCTGCTGCTTGCTCTGTGAGCCTGGTGGTGGTCAGGGAACTCGAAAGTGTCCTGGTGTAGAGGTGACAGTTTCCCTGTGGCTCCAGACTCCTCAGCAGGAGAAAGGGAATGGGACCAGGGGACTCCAGGAGCCTTCCCAAAACTGTTCTACCCGCAGAGCTGCTTAATCTGTGGTCCTTAATTTTGAAAGTTCCAAAGAGTATTGGCTGCTGCTACAGAATCTGATTGGGAAGTAGAATCATGATAGAAATGGTCTCTGGTTTGTCAGTCATCCTCCCTGCTCGAAGCACCAGGACTCAATAAACTTGATAGGCCTTTTATTCAGCCCACTCCTTCCCAAGACTGTGTTCCCTCTAGTTTCTGGTGTCTACTGCCACCTGGTGGCCATCTTCTTTAAGAGCAGTTATAAACTAGGGAAATAAAAGACCCACCTAGCCTGGTCACACAAGGAGTCACCCAGAGGCATCTGCTCTGGGGTGCTCATACCAGAGTCCAGACACACATGTGCTGTGGACTGTGGTTATGAGCCTCTGCGTCTGCCACTGCTTTGAACATCGCCAGCACACAGTGGCCAAGGTTCTAATAGTTTGGTTTTCTTCTGGCGCATGTCCACTTTCCAGCTCTCCGAGTCGTCCTCATCCTGTTCTTCTATCCATTCCATGGACACGGCCTCCTCAGGGATGTCATCCTTAATCAACCCCCTGTCTTCCCCTCCATCCTGCAACTCCAATCCCAAGATCCACAAGCGCTCTGTCTCTGTGACATCCATTACCTCGGCCATGCTGCCTCCCGCTTACAACCAACAGAACGAAGACACCTGCATCATCCGCATCAGTATCGAGGACAACAATGGCAACATGTACAAGAGCATCATGGTAAGATGCCTGTCCCCACCAGGAGGGCTTGAACCAGTGAGTCACTGGTATCATCCATCTGCAGGTCTCAGCCACTCTCACTGACACCCCTGATCAGGTGCACAGTTAGCGGATGTATAAGCGGCTTCCATTCACACAAAATGAGCATGTGTAAGTGCCCCCATCTCCTGGGGTGCGGAGCAATGATGCATTGATATAAAAATCTGCATACTACCAGTGCATATAGTGGCATGTACTTTTTACATCTTAAAAAGTTTTATTATCCAGGTCAGTCTCACCCTTGTCAAAAATAGCCAGTTAGATGGCAATAAAGGGGAAGATGCCACCACACATACCTTCTCAGAATTGAACCACTGTGCATTCTCAGCAGTGTCCTGTGTGGTGGCAAATTCTTCTTCTTTGGTCATTTGGAATCGAACTTAGTTATCAGTGTTCATCATCAAACTGGAAATCCGTTTTGAGTCTCTGAGAAACTTTCCTAATAAAATTAATGAGGGCCTCCCCTGGTGGCGCAGCAGTTGAGCGCTGGGCTGCAAAGCTGCCTGCAGCCTCTGCAGCACTGGTTCTATCCCCGGCTGCCAGTGAGGGTCCTACATGGCGCAACAGACCTCTCCTGCCATGCCCGCTGCTCCCCTCAGCAGTGTATTTCGTCAGTCTGCCTGCTCTGCTCTGCTCTCTGCTCTGCCTCTGGTGAATTCTCTCACCCTCCCACACTTCTGACTGTACCCAGTGCTTATATAAATAAATAAATAAATCTTTAAAAAAATAAAATTAATGAGCTGAACCTTTTTCAGTTTCTTTTTAAAAGTGTGTATCTGAGCACGGCTCCCAAAATATCAGTCTTCTTGGAATTTCTGTGGAGCCTCCTGGGGATGTAAGGTCTGGTGTGTTTATTACGAGAGTGTGTTCCTTAATCTGCAGACATACTGTATATTGAAAGCAGATCCTCTTGCGATATACAATTGCACAGCTAACTAACCCTAAGTCTTGCCTTGCCTTCCTCACTCACCTTCTGGACTAATGTCTTGGAAAGTAGGGGTTAAAGAAAATCTGATTAAAATTCATTTCACTTACAAATTTTTAACGTGACTTCTAGGTATTTAAAATCATGTGTCAGTTTCCCATCATGTGTCTGCTGGACAGTGCTGGTTCAGAATGTCAGCCCCAGGACACTAATCACCATCATTAGTTCCCTTCTATAGTATTTTTGGTACAAAGTAACACGCATGCTGCCCTTGTTTGGATACACCAGGGGAAGTTTAAGGTAAAAAAAAAAAAAAATAAGGGTATCCTGAGTTTTCTCCTTAAATAAGTTTGAAATTGACAACTCCACCTGACATTAACCAGCTTAAATGGCCACCTCTCAAATGGTGCCCTTTCTCCTTAAACTTCATGCTGCTCACCCATTGTGGCCTAGTTATAGGAACGCCATTACTTTAAACCCCAAAACAGAGGCTCCTCCTTTAGGATTCTCTGTGCACCCATTTCTCCCTTACAAATGGATATGCCAGATGTTTTGGTAATAGCCAAATGAGCAAGCTCTCTGTGGCCGACAAGGACTCCATTGTAATGTGTTTATTGAATGGCAAATGCCAGCCGCTGCCCAGACCAGAGGGAGGCGTGCAGGATCTACCATTCTCAGGCTCACAGTGGCTTTCTTGGAGGAAGCTAAACTTCTATTTTTAAGTGGTTGTCTCTCCTTTGGCCTCCTGGTGAGAACAGCTTTTATTTTAAAAATCAGAATAATCTTTTCATTTGCTTTCTTTAAAATTTGAAGAAATCACCCAAGCATTGATCCAGAATGAACCCATCTTTCCTGCTGTCTGAGTGTCCTGCAGAGAGTTAGCTGATGGGCAGAGATTAAAGGGAGAAAGTTCAAACTGGGGGTGAAGAGAATATTTACTTGTGCTTTGATTTTTCAAAATGGTATATTTATTATTTTCCAACACTTAGAAGTTGATTTTCATTGACACATAGTTTATGTATAATTATACAGGTCGTAAGTATCCATTATCTGGATTCTAATAACTATATAAATCTGTGTAACCACCACCCCAAGTTTCTAAGGAACATTTTTCATCACTGCCGTCTCCTGGTGCCCCTGCCAGTCAACTCCCCCTTAAACCTGATCATTTTCTAATGCCATAGGTTAGTTTGGCCTGATTTTGAAAAAACAGACTTCTGTAGTATCTAGCTTTTATATCTGGTTTCTTTTGCTCACATGTTTTTGAGATTTGTCCACACTGCTGCATAGATCAGTTCTTAGTTCCCTGGAGCTGCTGAGTAGTGTGGTAATGTGTATGTGCTACAATTTTTTTATCTATTCTCCTGTCCACCTATTGATGGGGATTCACGTTGATGCTAGTTTAGGATCATTATAAATAAATCTGCTGTGAGCATAAGCCTTACTGTTCCCATGTCTCTCGGTAAATGCCTACCAGTGGGGTTCCTGGGTCATAGAATCACTCATGTTTATTGAAAAGGTTCATGTGCAGACCCGTGGCCATATCCAACCTGTGGGTTGTAACTACTGCCATAGCAGGTAAGGATGATTTTTGTCCAGACACCAGGTTACCAGCATTTGTATCTGGTCCAGGTAAAGATACTGCTGTCCATTTTCCACAAGGCCCTCAGATATATTCTTTTACTGGCACCTCACCCAGTGTGCGGGAAACAGCCATGCAGCTGTCCCCATGTTCACAGGGAACATGCTGGGGCTGTGAGGGTGGGTGACTTGCCCATCACCTTGTGGCTGCTCAGGGTGGAGGCAGATCTAGAACCCAGGAGGAGTTCCAGCTCTGGGTCCTGTTTTCATTCCTGGGCTGTTTCCCCTGGAAAGGCTCTCACAACACCAACAGCAAGAACAGGAGAGTTGAGAAAACACTTTCAGGACACATGAAGCTAATATTTTCCCACCCACTCGTTGTCATTCCAGTTGACGAGCCAGGATAAAACTCCTGCTGTGATCCAGAGAGCCATGCTGAAGCACAACCTGGACTCCGACCCGGCTGAGGAGTATGAGCTGGTGCAGGTCATCTCAGAGGACAAAGGTGCGTGCTCCTCCTTGTGACCAGAAATTAGGTGTATGGTCATTTTTTTAAAAAATGAAATCAAGCAGGGCCTCCCTGGTGGTTGAGCGCCGCACTGTGAAGCTGTCCGCAGCCTCTGCAGTGCGGGTTCAATCCTGGCCGGCTGGCGAGAATCCCACATGGCACAGCAGATCTCGCCTGCCTCGCCAGCTGCTCCCCTCAGCAGTGTATTTTGTCAGTCTGCCTGTTCTGTTCCCCTCTCTGTCTCTGGTGAATCCTCTCACCCTCACGTGCATCTGCCTGTGCCCCGGTTCTTGTATAAATAAATAAGTCTTTTAAAAAAAAAAAATGAAACCAAGTGGGGGTTTTAACTGTGCAAGCATGCAGCTACATGGAGAACCATCATCTCACCTACAGCACCTCACCTGTACAATTCAGTGTCTTAAGCCGCTCCTTCCCTAAGAACCTTTGTTTTTCTTCCAGTCTTGCTAAGATTCCTCCTGCCTATTCTTTGTGAGCTTCTCATCAAGCATTCTTCTAGGAAGAGGTCTCTCCCTCTGTCAGGAGGCAGGGTAGATAGGGGTTCTGCAGGCCACACACCTCCTTTGCCTAATGTGTTTCTAAGTTGTGTGTGAATCTGAAATGTAGCAGTTCCTGCCATAAACTATGGTATGATACATTGATCTCTGTTCACAATCCCTCTTCAAGTAGCTAATGTTTCTAACAACAGTTTGAAGGTTCTTCACTTCACACTGAGGCAGAGAACTGGTGTTCCATGAAAAGTTTCACTATGCCCAGGCACTCATAATTTAAAGAAATCTCATTTATGAAAACCCTGGGAAAATGCACCACCAATGTATCTTATTTCCTAATTTCAATTGGGGCTGTGTCTGTTGAGAGAAGAGACTGCTGGTGGGAAGCTCCTCTCTACCATGTCACCTCACAGAAAGTGCCTCTGTCAAAATTAATTTTCTGGGGCCTCCCTGGTGGCGCAGGAGTTAAAGACAGTACTGTCAAGCTGTTGCCAGCCACTGCAGCATGAGTTCAATCCCCTGTGGCCTGCCAGGGAGCAACCCACATGGCACAGCAGACCTCTCTTGTCTTGCCTACTGTTCCCCTAAGCAGTGTATTTCAGTAGATCTGCCTGTTCTGCTCCTCACTCTCTCTAGTGAATCCTTTCACCACCCCCTGCACCCTGGCCTCTGGCCTACACCCCAGCATAAACAAATAAATCTTACCAAAAAAAAAAAAAAAAGTTTCTGCTGACAGACCAACACTGAGCCAGTGAGCAGCCCTGCCCCCACCTCAAGAAAATTGAAAAGCAGTTGGGAAAGAACTTGACCAGCATGGTTTGCTTGTGACCAGCAAATCACCCAGGGCTATATCTTGGGCCCACAGGAGAGTGCCTGAATGTGGAGTAGTATCTTTTCTGAGAGATGAAAAATGCTAGTCTCTGAGAAAGTTCTTTTCCAACTACCTCTGGGAACTTTTCTCATTCACTCCTCTGAGTCCTAGGTTGTGGGGCAAGCCTTTCACAGTCATATCTTTTCATGTATTTACTGTTACAATTTTAAGCCTAAAATGCAGGCTCTTGAATTTTACCACATTGCTCACAAAACAATGCTAAGGTGAGGCAGGTGGGTCTGAAGATCTCTTTCAGCCCCGGCCCAGCTTTGTTCACGGCTGAGGGAGGCAGAGGGGCTCCTCAGGCCTCAGTGGCCCTTCATTAGTTAAACAGAAACCACACCCCACTGGTGCTTCAAACGTCACTGGGGTGATTGTGAACATCACAGGATATATGTACCTGAAAGTGCTTTGGGGATAGGCTTCGTGAGCTACAGCTGTGAGGTGAATTATTACTCACCAGGAATATGTGGTCAGGAAACAGGGGACACTTTAAGGGAGTTACTGTATATCAAACCTTTGTACAAGCAATGAGATAGAATCGCTCAGAACTGATCTCACTGGGGATGGCTGTAGAAACTCAGCATTTGAAGTTAATTACAGGTTCACATAATCGAGTTTTGCAGTCAGATGCCTCTGTTCACTGCCACCAGGCTAGACTTGCTCTTTCTATCTTTTTTTAAATCTCCTGTTTGTCTTTATAGAGACCCACTACCTTTGAGTGCTAGATAACATGTACTGTCTTAACAATAAAAATAAATGAAAATTACTTTGCTCGCTAACTTCATATTATACCTAGCATAATCCTCTTTCAGAAGTTGCGTGTAAAGGTTAACAGATATACACAATCTTAATGTGGATGCCCTTTCATATAACTTGGAAGCTCTTGACAAAGCAAGGCCACAAATGAATACAACACTCGATTGATTTGGGATTATTTTGAAAAAATGTAGCACCATTCCAAGTAGAGAGTTCTGGAAAATGATGTGGGTTTTCTACTTTTCCCCATGTCATTAGATTTTCTTCATCTCTGAGAAAAGCTGCATCCTGGAGTGGAGCACTGGCTCCAGCCCCAGCCCTAGGTGTCTCAGCTGTCACTTGGGAAATGCCATTTCTCTTCCTACTGTGCTTCCTCCAGCTAAAGCAGTCTACATTTGAACATTTAGTTCAAGGGTTAAATTTCTAAGCTGCTCTTGACACTTTCTTGGGCTTAAGACATTGTTTGGGACCAATTTTCAGGGCATCCACATTAAGACTATGTATATCTGGGGCCTCCCCGGTGGCGCAGCGGTTGAGCGCTGGGTTGCGAAGCTGCCCGCAGCCTCTGCAGCTCTGGTTCGATCCCCGGCTGCTCCCCGGCCACCGGAGGAGGGTCCCACATGGCGCGCAGACCTCTCCTGCCGCCCGCTGCTCCCCTCAGCAGTGTACTTCGGTCCTTCTGCCTGCTCTGCTCCCCTCTCTGGCTCTGGAGAATTCTCTCACCCTCCAGCGCTTCGACTGTACCCAGTGCTTGTATAAACAAACAAACAAACAAATAAATAAATAAATCTTTAAAAAAAAAAGACTATGTATATCTGTTAACCTTTACATGCAACTTCTGAAGGCGGATTATTCTAGGTATAATATGAAATTAGCGAACAAAGTAATTTTCATTTATTTCTATTGTTCAGACAGTATATATTATCTAGCACTCAAAGGGTTATATTATCTAGCACTTCACAAGGGTTAAATTTCTAAGCTGCTCTGGACACTTTTTTGGGCTTAAGACATTGTTGGGACCAATTTTCAGGGTCGGGGTGGGGGGAGAGCGATGTGTAATTGTCTGGTTGAGTTCCCACTCCAGGGACAAAGGGCCACAGTCCCAGCTTTCTGTCTGGGCAGGATTCCTGCCTGCCTTTGTCAGCACCGAGCCAGCGACACAAGCACAACTGACTGCCTTCTCTTTCCTTATCTTGTTTAGAACTTGTGATCCCAGATTCAGCAAATGTCTTTTATGCCATGAACAGCCAAGTGAACTTTGACTTCATTTTACGCAAAAAGAACTCCATGGAAGAGCAAGTGAAACTGCGTAGCCGGACCAGTTTGACATTGCCCAGGACAGCTAAGCGGGGCTGCTGGAGCAACAGACACAGTAAAATCACCCTCTGAAGGGAAGGACCACAGCCCCTTGCTCGCCAGAGGCCGAGAGAGCCTGAGAATAGGCCGTGTGATTGCAACTGCCATCCAGTGTTAGACATCTTTGTGAGGTCAACCAGTGTTTATTGAGTACCTCCAGTGTGCAAGGCACGTGAAAGGGAATCAGAGGTGAATTTAACATGAAAAGGATGGACAATTCACTGATTCTCTTTGACCTACTCGAGACTGAAATGCAAAATTATACACACTTATAAATATATATATATATATATGTACACGTATTTGGTATGTACGTGTAAATATATAAATATGTGAGGGACTTATGGGATATTCTGGACTATGGAAAAACAAATTTGCACAATGGCCTGGGAAGTTGAGGTCACTTTTTACAGGGAAATAGAAGGAACTGTGAACCTAGTCCCATACTTTCCCAGTAAATGGAATCAACCCTAGGAATACAGAGTGTCCTTCGGGCCAGTATTACAAGAAGTCCAAACTATTTTTATAAAAGGAGATTACTTTCTCAATCAAGTGCCACCAGAGGAAACAGCTGCAGAGGCTGGAACTGCCCGGGCTGCATGAAAAGCCGCTTTGGAAAGGGTTTGGATGAGCCCGTGGCCTTAGGCCTCTGCTGTATCCACAGCTCTCTGCTCCCCCTGGGAGGACAAGGAGGAACTTTGGGGGCCTTCCGACCCACTGGGCCAGCTGTCCTAACACTTTTGGAGCGATCCTAAGCCCATCTCAGTTTCCCGCAACAGCATTGTGTCTCTGTCCCTCCCCAACCCCTGCCCCACCACACCCCCGAAAGCATATCAAGGTCATTATTGCACAAATAGCCATGGTCTTTGGTAACTTATCAGCCAGAAGAGTAGGCACAAAAGAATGGTGACTCATTTGGACTCTTACCTGTCTCAGATGCCACGACTTCATTGCCTTTGCCAATTGCCTTTTGCATGTAAAACTATATGTCTGGAGTCTTTTGCCCATCTGGACGGTAATACCTCTATATTATGTGCAATTTGTTCCTCAGGTGTCGAAATTTTTACTTTGATGGACTGTCTGTGATCATTTGAGCCTGTGAAAGATTTCTGAACAGTGATTAATCTGTTATTAACCCCTGGGAAGATACTATCTGCTGATAGCAGCGTCCTGTGTTCCTTACTAACTTTTACTTACTAACTGTGCCTAGCCGTGGGGAGAAATGGGCCTTTCTTACCTAAATCACTTTTAAAGAGGTACATTTCTCCAGATGGAATCAATACCTTTTTTTCCCCAGGACCCACCCTTGCTGTCAAGGTGTCACTGCCAAGTGACATTTTTGTCTCAGCAACACCATCACCCTCTCCCTTCCAAATCTGAGCTGTGCTGGGGTTTGAACTAAAAAGCCATATGTTGGATGTTGACATGTATAAAAAGCACTTTCAGAATGTTGTCCTTTTTAAGAAAAACTTATCAAAATACCAGTTTTTATCCCCAAAATAAAGAGAATGAACTCAGAATATGAAGTGCAGATTGTAACCTGGAGGTCTCCCCTCCGCACCCCCACAATCCTTGAAGACAACTCAAAGGTTGTATGAGATTTATGTTTTGTGCCTAAACAGCCATATGAAATTTGCAAGAAACACCAGGGAACGTTTCGAGACGTGTGGCAGTAAACCAAAGAATGAGCCAGGAAAGCCTCCAGTTTCCTTTTGTTCTTTCTAGGAGAGGGAACCGTGCTTTGTAAATCCTGGGTTTCCACTGGTCCGAGGACTAGAACTTTCTTTTCTCTGCGAGGCTCGTCTGATTTTGGCTTTCTGTGCTTGGAAGAGAGATGCCGGGGTGGTAGACATCTTGCAGATTGAAGTCAGTGTAGCCTCAGGCTGAGGTTCTTGGTTGGAAAATCAAAAAGAACACAGGACTGTTGGCCTGGTTAGGGTGTGATTACCAAACGTGTTGTGCCCTGTGCTCTCCCTGTGTATTTATACTGTATATGTAGAGTCTAGATTTATATACTGCAATGTAAAATATATATATATTTTCATTTTTTAAAGACAATGGAAATTCCAAGTAGATACAACATAGCCTCACTTATTTAATGCCACTTAAAATGTCTTAAATTTGTTTCCTGATAGAGAGCTGGGTAAAGCTCTTAGCTGCTCGCATGCTTGTCTTTCTGCATTTCCATCATCTGTTTACCTTTTGGTTAAACTAATAAACTGGTTTGGGACTCGGTTGGCATATGCTGCTGCCAGACCCAAAGGACATGTGTCTGGAGTGTTCATCAGCTGGATTCTGGGTTCCAGATGTGTCAGTAAGCTTTTTGGAAGCTCAGGCTGGCTCTGTCAAAGGGAGCAGTGGGGGAGCCAGCTGCAGGTAGGTGGGGGCTCCTCTCACAGGAAGTGTCATGTGGACTTGGGGGATAAGAAGGACACCCTCCAGGAACTGAGGGGGGGCCCTGCCAAGTGGCTGGTATTAGGAGTCAGGCAGTCTGAATTTCAAAAACATGAACTCAGAGTTAGGATCCAAGTCTCTTTGCCTTCTCTTTGCAGCCTTCCCCCAGCCTGCACCTGCTACTGCCTGCAGGATTTCTGAAGCCATCTACAGTGTCCTGAGAGCCCCAGGGCCTCTTTGGAGGAAATTCTCCCCAAAGAGATTCACACTGAGGCCAGCTCCATTCAATGGCAGCACATCATTATCTCTTCACCAGATTGTGTCCCAATGGCCCCCACGATTACTTTCCAGGAGCTTGCTAATGGACCCAAACCAGCAAATATTCTGGGTCCTTGTAGAATTTTTCAGAGAGCTGAGTAGACATTGGAATAAATGATAATATGGGAACAAAGGCATTTCTCTGGCGTTGGGTTCCTCTTTTTTGAAGATAATTCTAGAAAACTGGTTCCTTTGTTTCTCCATCCATCTAGAATCTGGACTGGTTGATGTTTTGCCTGAAAGAATAATGTCAAATTTCCTTGTGGGGGCATTTTCAAGTTCACATGCAGCACAGGACCATCCAGATCATACAGGATTGCTCCGTGCTCTGATTGTGCTTTCCGGAGGTTTCCTGACTCCACACTTGTTTGCTACAGATGCTGTAATGATACTGGCTACAACCTAGACCCACGATTCCACTATGAGAGGTTATTTTCATTGTATTTTTGAATGACCCTTCCCCTAAAGCTTTCCTAAAGTGAAACACTTCAAAGAGATGTGTTAGATAAGGTTAGACCAGGATCATATCATAAAATCTCAGTTACTTAGGACAGAGAATTACTGTTCACTCATGTCATGGGTAATGCTAGGCTCCTGGTGCCTTTTCTGAATGGTAGTTCAAGGACCCAGTGCTTCCATCTCGAAGCTCTCTTCCTATGAGAGTACACAGGTTTATTCTTCTTCCCTCAGTCATCAGAAAGTTTGTACAAGGAGGGCTTGTGGTGTGAGGATGGGATAGGTCTGTGCAGAGCAAAGGGAGGGTTGGGGAATGAGAGGTACTCAGAGGAAGAAGAAATACTAGAAAGAAGACTTCTTAGTCTAGAATTAATAACATAGAAGTTATTTGTAATTTCTAGCATGCAATTACCACCAATTTGCATGCTTCTACCATAGTCTCTACAGTGACTAAACTAGAAGTGACTTCACAGATGTAGCTTTAGGTCAGGTTAAAAACAATCTAGAAGATTCCAAGAGCTTACATATTAACCACCAAATCCAAGAGAAGCAGGCAAGCTTAATTATCTTAGACTCAGAATTTGGAAGCCACTATTGGGTGAGGGTTCTCAACATCTCTACCCAGAAAACTGTGTGGAAGCAATTCACTTACTAGCTTGAGGAGTCCAAAGTATCGAACATTTTCTTAAAAGTTGCAAAGCAAAAAAGAAAAAATTGCAAGGCATCTTGCAGATCACATAACCAACCCCTCAAATTATAGACATGGGGGCTGAAGCCCCCAGCAGGTAAGTAGCTGCCCAGGGATAGGGGCAGGGCTCTGAACTGTGTGCCATACTAGGTGGGTTCTGAACCTGGGGGGCTTCACTGACAGATTGTCCTCTGTAAGCTGTGGAGCTGGGGAGAAGCCTGGCCTGTGGGTTCTATCCCACCCTCCCATCACATGAGTTCTCCTGAGTTCTCTTGGTTAAAGGGCATATTGTTGGTTCTTTACAATCTCCTGGGAATGTTCTTCTGCTGGTCTTGGAGCCCTGAGGGCCACCTGCTGTCCTGAGCATTCGTCCACCTCACAGATGTGAAAACAGGTCCAGCAGGAGTGAGCTTATCCTGTGAGTTAGCCCCCAGCTAGGACTTAACTCCATTTCTAATTCATGGACACAACTGTCTGGTGGGATGAAGTGGTTTCAGGGGGAGCCTCTGTGAGAAGTACCAAGTAAGTGAATAAGAAATTAGTGGAGGAGCAACGGATATGACTGGACTTGGGTGCCGTCTGAGCGTGAGGACCCCCAACTCAGCTTTTGTAAGCCAGTTACCAGTATCCATGTTACCCCAGGCTTCTCAAAAAAAAAAAAAAAAAACAAAAACACTGTTATTTCACCATTATTTCACCCCAAAGCAATGTCTTGTGCTACAGTCCAAATGTCTTACATAGGAATGCCAGTAAATCAAGTTTAAAAAAAAAAAAAAGAAAGAAAAAAACAATGCAACAGCTTTGAAATGCATTCTAGATGAGACTTTTAGCCTGCCCCAGACATTTATTTCGACACCTTGTTTATACATTATGTGATTTCCAAGCCTTGGGCAAAACCTGAGAAATGTCGTTCTGATCAGCCAAGTAACCACTGTAAGACAGTTCATAGACAGGAACTCAGGAGGGTGTGGAGCTGCAACCTCCTTTATATCAGGTTCCATGTGTGTGGAGGGGATGGGGGACAGAACTACCCGGTGTTAGAAAACGAGACATGAGGCAGACTGTCGCTCAGAGGCTGTGCCCTGCTGCAGCTGGGATCAGGTGGGATCTGCCTGCCTAGGTCTGACTGCCTCCTCTGACTGCCCCGGGAAAGTCCCTTAACTCAGCTGCTGCCTCATCCACGAAGCAAGAACTGGACTGTGATGGAAGACCTTGGGCACCTTCGTGGTGGGGGTGGAGCGGTGACGTGCATGCAAGGAGACGTGAAACTATACCTCTCCATCACACACCGTGTTGTAAACCAATGTTACCTCAATAAAAAAAATTATATAAAATAAATAAAATTAGAGCTCTCATTCATCCCACACACATAAGTAGGGTTCGAAGCTTCTGTATTAAGTTACACAGTAAGCATAGGAAAGTGCTCATGGTACATGCTGGAAGCCCAGTGGGCTGCTGTTACTCCTGGGGAGAGTCTCCCCTGTGGAGAGCTGATTCCTCATAGAAGCCCTCCGGGCTCCTTCCCGGCTGAGCAGCACCCAGGTTTCACCTCTGGTGAAACACCCGGAGAAACTCCTCCAGCCCCAGGCCTGCTCAGCTGTGTGAACAACACCCTGCAAAAGTCTAGCCTGCTGTGCTGTGGGGAAAGACTGACTCATGGATTTGGGGGGCAGCCAGAGCTCCTGCAGCTTGCTCCACAGTCACAGGCCAAAGAAGTGGGCCCAGCACAGCCCAGACCACAGCCCTCCTGTCCCGGCTTCAGACTGCGCAGTGTGGACCCCGGAGGCAATCCTGAGTAGAAGTGCACCAGCCCAGAGCTGCATCACCCCACACAGCCAGCAGGGGCCCCACCTTTATGGATTCCCCTCTGGAGTCAGAATGGGCCATTCATTCTCTCACCCATGTCCCTCCTCTTCTTCCCCTGGACTGGTATCTTCCTGGAGGAAAGGGGCTCTCTGCTCCCTCTCCCTTTCCATCCAGGAGTGACTCGGCCCAGGCCTGTGAATGCCTACTGTTTTACAGGTCGGCGGGGGGGGGGGGGGGGGCACTGCGTGTCCTACCTGTTCCTTTGCAAGCTGTTCAGCTCAGTCATCCCCACTATTACAGGTTTGCAAGGATAAAATCATCATTTTTAAGGACCAAATGATGCCAGTCCTGTATCCAGCGCCCTCTTACAGTTTCTTCCCTTCTTTCCAGCCACGCACTGGACTCATTGCTAATGGGCCTGAATATCCCCTTCAGGTGCATCTTGTTCTTGCGCTTCTCCCTTAGACTCTGGGTGCTGTGCCCTGAGAGCCTCTTTCCACTCCCCTCAAATCCCCGAACACCTGCACCATCATCATCCTCTGGCACCCAGCTCTGAGCTTCTTCCCCTGGGCCTGCCTGAACAATAAGATGCCTCAGGTCTTAATTGTCCCTGCTGGGCATTTTATAAATCAGTTAAAACCCTTCAGACCATAACACTTAGACATCTCAATTCCTGTCTGTGGGTCTTCGCCACATATCCAGTTCCCTCTCAGGAGAGTTCCCTTTGGTCCCTGATTGTTCTTCTTCTTTTTTTTTTTTTTTAAAGATTTATTTATTTATGCATATATGAGCTGGGGTACAGGCCAGAGGTGTGGGGGGTGAGAGGATTCACCAGAGACAGAGTGGGGAACAGAACAGGCAGACTGACTGAAATACACTGCTGAGGAGCAGCGGGCAAGACAGGGGAGGTCTGCTGCGCCATGTGGGTTGCTCCCTGGCTGGCCGGGGAATCGAACAAGTGCTACAGAGGCTGCAGACAGCTCCACAGTGCAGCACTCAACCCACTGCGCCACCAGGGCTGCCCTGATTTTATTTTTTTAAGATTTATTTATGCATACAAGAACTGGGGTACAGGCCAGAGATGTGAGGGGTGAGAGGATTCACCAGAGACAGAGCAGGGAACAGAATAGGCAGATGAACTGAAGTACACTGCTGAGGGGAGCAGCAGGCCAGACAGGAGAGATCTGCTGCGCCATGTGGGTTGCTCCCTGGCTGGCCGGAGATCGAACTCATGCTGCAGAGGCTGCGGACAGCTTCACAGGCTGCTTCTTAACCCCTTGCACCACCAGGGAGGCCTCCCTGATTGTTCTTGAGGCTTCTCTGACGTGTGGAGCTAGGGGGCTGCCTGCCACACTCTGAGAGTCACTTCCCACGAAAATGGAGCCCAGCCTTCCTCAGGACAGAAACACCCAGAGGCACACCTCCAACCCCACAACTGCTCAGACGTGCAGTTTTATTAAAATGCCCAGTGCAGAGGAGGTCAAGCTGAAGAAACTGTAGGGAGGGGCACCCAAATAAACTCAGTAAATTAAAAATAAAGGAAACCAACACTCAGACGCCATTCTTCATTCTTTCCACCCTTTTGAGGACAGATGGGAGGATGGCTTGGGGCTGGAAGTAGCCCCACTAATGTCTCAGGATGGACTCAAACAAGGATCCTCTTAAGTATTAATATATTTACTGGTGGAAGCACAGAAATGGGTCATTTTAGGTAAATTCACTGAATAGAAAGCAAGCCACTCTCCTACCCAACAACAAATTCTAAGGAGTCATTCTACCATCTGGTTTGGAATCCTATCCAGCATCTAAAGATTCTGTCAATGAATTCTTCTGGATTTCACCTAAACTCATCCCAGTGCAATTAGAGCCAGTTCCTCTTATTCTGTGCTTGTGATAAGAACACCATTTTCTGTGCAATCTGTTGCAACACAAGGTAATACCATTATTTCTCTTCTCTAAGAAGCCGCATAACTGTTGTCTTGACTACCAAGGGCCAGACCCCCTCTCTGCCTGCCAGGAGGGTCTCACAGGAGACCCTCACAGCTATTCCTCTCTCCTCCTGGTCCTCCTTCTTCCACCACATTTAACAAGAATGTCTCTGGGGGAGGCAGAAATAATCTCTTTGAAATAATCAACATCACCACAAAACATCAAATATGGGCCCAGTGATGATTTTTCCAAGGCCTCCTGCCCTTCATTTTCTGAATTTGTCTCCCACAACTTGCTATTTTCTTATCAAATGGCCTCATTTTAATTCTCTTTTTGACATCAGTTAATCCTCAGTGAATTAATTTCTTGTCAGTCATGGGGATCACTCTCATGGATCATTCTCTTCCCCGTCTGCTTACTGGGAGAGATGGTCTCAACTCACGTTGGAAAGCTGCCTCTTGATTTCAGTCACTCATTAGAGGGATTAGTATCAAGCCTGTAGTTCAACAGGAACTTTTCTTATTTTAGATGCCAATGTTTTAATGGGATCTCTGCACAATGTCTCAGGAGAAGATCTGAATTCCGAAACCCCCAGAAACAATGGCCTCTGCCATTAGGACAAGAGAATCCCTCCCCTTGCCACCTTTCCTGATGGTGTTTCCTGTCTGCAGTCCCAACACACAGTTGACTCTTCAGTCCTACTGGGTTCTCATCACCCCAACAGGCCCTCTCACAGCCCCACACCTCAGAGAAAGTGTTCCCACCCCTGGCTGAATCCTCGTCCCTCCTGGGAGTTCCCTCCCACCCAGGCTCCGAAAACCAACATGTCACCTTCCCAGGAAGCCAACCCAACAGTCCGCCTGAGCAGACCCAGGTCCTCTGTGGGCCTGCTGCCTACTTCATCCATCTCTGAGGTATGTCTTGCCACACCCACAGCAGCAGGACTTTTTCATCCTTGAAGCCCTCAGTACCTGCAACAGGGCAGAGCTGACAGCGTGGCTTTTGAGATTTGGGAGAAACTTGAGCTGAAATTCAAAGGGTCAATGGGACCAGTGGAGTCTCTCTCTCTCCCACCACCCCAGGCATCTCAGTATCTTCCACTGAATGGATAGACTGACACACACTATATATATGTAAGCTGGACCCTTCCTCACCTCCTCCCACTGGGGACTTCTATATTTCTGTAGCTTAGAGTCCTCTTCAGCTCCCCCACCTCCACCCTATAGTCTAAAGTAACCAGGATCTTAAGCAGCGGTGGTGATCTCTGGTCACTGATACCCTTGTCCAGTATGTACCTGGAAACCTCAGCAGTGTTGAAAGAAAGAGTGAACAACCACAGAGTTGAGCTTCTTCATCTTCTTTTTTTTTTAATTTTCACACAAAGCTGTAGAAGGCAAGTAAGTAGTTTACCACTTCCCCACCCTGAAGGACACAGCATGACAGAGGCAGTAGGGTGCTGGGATGCCGGCACTTTCTAGTCTTCTGACTTCCTGCAGTGGGTCCCGGAGGACCCAAATAGAGTCCTGTGCAGTGTGTCCTCTGCAAAGCGTAGGTGCTGCTTCCCCACTTAGAACCAGCACTGCCAAAGTTGGTGTCATCTGTCCAGAGATCCCACCTGGGACCTCAAGATCCATATAGGACCCAGATGGGGAATCCTGATGGGGTTCAACTTCCAGAGGCAGACAGCCTGGCTGGAAGCAGTCTCTGATACTGCGCAGGTCAAATGTCTTAAGACTAGACAGAAGGCAGGAAGAATAATGAGGTCAAGGACCCCCAGGATTGCTGAAAGGTGGCTTTTAAGGAAAGGCAGGCCTGCAATTCACAAAGTTCACAACCCAAGAGCATTGTGTGGCGTTCCAGACCAGCAGGGAGAAGCCAAGGCCGGGCTGACATAGCCAGAACTTTATTCACAGTAGAACAGTCCTCATCGAAAATTCTAGAATCTAAGACCAACATCTTTTAAGAATGAGACTTCATAAACCCATCAGACCAGCTGACAGGGGAAAAGGAAAAAAATGTTCTCTACTAAATAAACCCACACAGAAATCAACTCAGTCTTCCTCCACCCCAGTACCCCCACCACCTCCCACCCCTGAAAAATATCATGAAAGCCACACACACTTGCACACACTCAAATATGCAAACAAAATACAAGTTCCCAAGGAAACCTTAGGAATCACTGAAGGGTTTTTTTTACTAGCTCCTCATGCAGATGTTAATTCGGTTTTTCTAGAAAGAGTCAAACTCTGACAGCTATGTCTATGCAATAAAAATCAGAGCAGGCCAAGATCCCTTTTCTCAGGCTCCTGGCTTGTCAGTCGATGGGGAAGAACATCAATGCTAAGACAAGGAATGGGGAGGCTGAGGTACAGTGGAGACCAAGTGCCTCCTCTTGCAGCCAGGCCCACAATTTGCTATTTTCTTATCAAATGACCAGCCTCATTTTAATTCTCCCTTTGACATCAGTTAACTCCTCAGTGAATTAATTTCTTGTCAGTCATAGGGATCACCCTCTTGGATCATTCTCTTCCCCTTCTGCTTATTGAGGGAGCACTCAGTTAGGTGCCCACAGCCACCTGCCCCTGGGTCCAGCTCCAAAGCCTTATCAGGTTGTTGTTGGGCCTGTGGAGCCGACACCAAGGACACAGAGGGATTGTGTGGACCAGACACTCGGGGAGGATATTTCTGGAGGCAATTTTACCACACGCAGGTGTGAGAACACAAACCAGATTGCTTCCTGGTTGTTGGTCTGAATCAGCCATCGGCCATTGCTGTTGACAAGGACGTGCATCTAAAATGGAGTGTCATTGTTTCCAGGTGGTGTTAGAATCTCCCACTTAGCAGGTCTCCCACAAACATTAGTCTGGGAAACACCAGAGAACCTGAGCATTGAGCTGACATGTCTACACTGACCGCTCTCCAGGGCACATGTGTTTCTCTGCCTTATCTGTTTTCCCCACATTTTGTGAAATAAATAAATCAGAATAGAATGGAAGGCCCAGGCAAGGACAGCTGTGGGCCTGAAAGTGTGTTCTGCCTCTCAACAATGACTCATAAGACTCACACCTGTAGCTGGAGCTGGGGTTGGAGTGGGGGTGGGGGTTCGGGTGGGGGATCAGACGCTTGCTGGCAGCACAGGGATCTAAGACAGTGTTCACACATCAGCTCATCCCCTAATATATTAACTTATCTTTATAAATAGAGCATCCTAACTCAAGAGGCCACAGTGAAAATGGCCAGAGTATCAGTTTTGTCCTCAAATATCTACACAAACCCTCAAGGATCTACTTACTACACCCACACGGCAATCTGGACATCTCCTTACGAGAGCTGGAACTGCCACGATAGTCAAGGCCAAGCCTCAGACAGACCCAAACACCCATCCCTGTAGGCTAACAAGAACCAAGATTAAAAAAACCCTCTCTGCAATAAGGCTCAAGGCAGAATTCCTTTAAATAAAAAGCCCAATTAATTTGATTTTCAACAGTTTGATTTACCTCCCTCCCCAACTTGTCACGTACACAAGTTTCAAGGGCACATCTCGGACAGATGATGGACCCAACAGACTAACATTTGGGGTCCAGTTGGCCGGTTGGCTGGCCTACAATTTACTGATGTAGCAGCATGGGGAGCCCCTCTCCTTGGGCGAGTTTCTGAGCCATAATGTTGACCCATAACATGGGCAGCATATCCAACTGTTCTCTGCCCAACTAGGTGTCTGGATTGAAGTGTATCTAATGGTTGCTACTAAGCCCATCTTCTAATAATCCTAGGAAATTTGAGTTTCTTTTCCCTGTTCTCCTCCCCAGTCAAAACATATTTATCTTGATCAGTCACACTAGACAGCCCTGGCGAGATGACTGTGGCCAGTAAGAGAAACCGGACACACATGGACAGCCGTGAGAGAAGCCAGAGCTCTGAGCACCGCAGCTTTCAGAGCTCGTCCCGCGACGGCGCCGTGTCCAGGGAGGTGGGTGAAGGCAGGGCCTCTGTGTTTTTGGCATTGCTGCGGATGTGGCCTTGTTTCCGAGACTTCCATGAATGTGTCCTGTCCCAGTCGGTGGCCACTGTCTCATTGTCCCAGATGGTGGAGGTCTCCGTGTCACTCAGGTACCCCGGCTGGCCGGTGTAGTGTGTGGGGTAGATGAGCAAGGGCTCTGCGGAGAAGGCCTTCAGGTCTCTGGATTCGTAATACTCCTTGTACTCAGCTCTGAAACAAGAGGAGCACAGCTATGAAGGGTGGGTGCTTACAGAACAGGGAGCTGCTTGTTGTAAACTGTCAGGGATTCATTCGATTATGATTATTTTTAATTTTTTTAAATTGAAGTACCATGATTTACATGTTGGTATTTTGGAGGTAGAGGATTTCCCCCTTTGGGTGTAGTCACTATAGGGCATCCAAGACCAAAACACCCCAAGTCCCACCCTGTGGTCCACTGTGCTCTCTCCCCACCCTGTTGTCACCCCTCCCCTCCACTCCTGGATGCCTCAGTTCTAAGTTCAGCTTTCAAGTCTGTCTTTGACCCTTTGTTTGGTTTCTCTACAGTCCACATATATGTGACACCATCTGGTATTTTTCTCCCTCTGGCTTATTTTGCTTAGCGTTCATTGATTATTTTATAATGATGAGCTGTGTCCTTTTTGGACAACATTAGTTTACAAACCCAATAAATCTTCCTTTAAAAGCTTGAAGATGATCTAAACCAATACACAACAATAGTTCTGTTGCATTTAGCTATATTAGTTTAAAAGGTGAATTTGGGTGTTACTCTTAAAGCTAAAAATTAAGCTTGGTTGGACTCCAGTGATGAGAAACTGTGATCACTTTATAGGTAACGCCTCATTCTTGGATCCATAAATCACACTGCTGAGACCTGGGCAGCAGTGTGTGTGTGTGAGAGAGGGAGGGTGGCGGGTGAGTGGAACAGCGTAGGCGTAGAGGTCATCTTGGCTTTGCATTTCAGTTTCTGTATGTGTAGACTAGAGGGATGACCTGGCCTCCCTCCCAGGGCTCCTGTGCAGATGGTGTGAGCTGACCATCTACTGGCTCCTCGTCAGTGGGTGCACCCAACGTGCTATGGTCATTTCTGGAAGGGATTGATGATGATAGACCTCCATGTTTCTGCCAGGACAACCGACAGAGTCAGTTTTTGACATGGTACATAAAAGAGGGCAAGGAGCTCCATTTTTACTGAAGACAGGAGACGACATGCGCAAGGTGCAAGGCAGACACTCAACCACTCCAACGAGACCATCTAGTGAGGAGATGACCCTCAGTGACTAAAAGAAGGAGCCCTGGTTAGAGCCTGGTCTAAATTTTGGAGTTGTCGATCAATCGGTTCTTATGCATGGAGGTTGGACTAAGCTTGAAGGACACAGATGTAAGACTGTCCCTGCTGAGGGCCTGCAGGTTATTGAAGAGACTGACAGGTAACCACACTGTTTGATAAGCAGTAGGTCTGAGCTATTGGGCAACGGGCACCTTGAACATTCCACTGCCTCCCGAGGAGAGGGGGCATGAATACCCTGTGCAGCGCCCCCCATCCCTGACTCAGCCTCTGACACACCTCTGTGACTGCAGGTACCATGGAATATCACAAGTGTCCATGAGTCTGGGTTCCCGACCAGACTAGGAACCATTCCCTGGCCAGTGATACCCACCATGGATGGAGAAGTAACTGAAAACATTGGGGTGCTAAGGAATATGACCTTCACCTTGAAATGTCTTAGCTCATGAAAGAAAGAAGGACAAGGACAAGAAGAGGACGAACAGATTATACCCAGTTACAGCTACATACTGGTTAGTAGGCAGGACTCATTTCCCTTGAGTAAAAGGGGAAAATCACTTGGGGCAGCCTTTTTCGGCCATGATTATGGAAAGATCATTTAGAAAAGCAGGGCGCCTTTAGAAAACATCAAGGGCTGGGTGGCATAATTCATGAACAGGCTGTGCCCACGGAGAAGGCGGGAGGTTCCAAGTGACTCACACAGGATGCTTGTTGTACATGATTGGCAGAAATTCATCCACTGGCAGCATCTTCCCAAAAGGATCAGCTCCAACCAGCTTCTGTGCTCCCTCCAGAGAGAGAACGTAGCCCAGTGTCCAGTAGGAATAGTCAGCTTCCACCAGGTTCAGCACGTCGGGCACAGCTTTCTCTGGTTCATTTACTTGCATCCTCTTCCTACCAATGTAACTAAAAGCAAATGGGCAGAGAAAAGGTCAATTTGAATATAAAATATCAATAAGCTTGAGCATCGCTTTGGTTTATACAGACATGTTAGAAAGCCTTGACCATGTCTCTTATTAAATGTATCAACCGCCAAGTGCATCACATCGCCCCTCCCCCACCATGTTCCTCATCTTTGAGGCCACTGGCCTGGGTGCCTGTATCTACCTCCCCACCATTCCTGCCTTGCAGCCTGTGTGCAAGCTGGAAAGTTAAGTTGGAGAGGGTCTGAAGAGCTATCAGTGAGCTGAGATCATCCTTTCTCAAAGATGGTAGGGAAGGAAGTTCCAGCTGTGTTTACAGATGTCAAAAGAGGACAAAAATATCCAGGTGTGAAATTCTGAGTTTGTTGCTTGCAAGTCTCCAGAGCTTTAGCCTTCGATGCTTTCTGTACTGGTTGGCAAATGCTGGTGGGACGCACAGGACAGAAGAGGCTGTGGGAAAGCAAGTTTGCAGTAGGCGACTTGGGAGCCCAAGAGCATCCTCCAGGACTTCTTCCCTGCTCTCTCCCCTCCCTCTGCCCACTTCCTCTTGGGTGCTCGGCTGGGACAAAGGACCCGGCCTGTCCTGTCCTCTTTGGACAACATCTGCAACACAGACATTCCAGGGCCATCCCCAAATTCCCCTAAACTGCAATCGAGTCAACCTGGGATACATTAATTTCATCTGGAAACTTTTTGTTTCCACCAGCCTGGAGAAGGTGAGGGGGTGCCTGCTTCCAGCGCATCAGGGAAAGCTGACTTCCTCTCTTTTGCCCTAAAAAGATGACCTTTTTCAACATTCAAGGCTTCCCTTTGCCAAAGCACTGCAGGTTTGTAGAACAAGTCAATGTCTGCCTTCAGCTGGGCTGAGCCCATTACACACATCCTCTCAGGCGCGGTCTCTGCAGGCTAAAGAGCGACTTTCTCTCCTGGACTATCAAGCGAAAGAGAAATTCTTCCAGAACACTTGAAAGTGGCTAGAGCTGCCTAGGAACTGACTTCGTACTCACTTTATGAATTTACACTTAAATTTTAAAATTGAAAATGTGGAAAATATTCTTCTGTTAAATAAGAAATTGCTTTGCTAGTACTACTGTTTACTCCAGCAGTGGAAAATTTAACACACCTGCACTGAGGTGTGTTATAAGTGTAAAATAGATAGTGGATTTTGAAATAGGTGCAAAAAAAAAAAAAAAGAAGGTAAACTATCTCATTGTTAGTTTTAAAGTACTGATCATATGTTAAAATAATAAGATTTGGATGTGTTGGGTTAAACACATGCATTGTTAGAGTTAATTTCACCTAAGTAATCTTTCCCTTTTTACTGTGATTACTAGAAAATTTTAGTAACTTGCATTGTATTTCTGTATTCTACAAGATGCCAAGGACTTGTTCTTCCTTTCCCGTTTACTATTTCTTTTCTGGAGAAATTTAATATAGCAACCACAGGCAGCTTACCAGCTTTCTGTTTTGGGTTTAAATAGCATTTGTTCCTTTTTCATTTTGGAAAGTGAGGGATGAAGAACTTGAAGACACGGTAATGCTTTAAGATCATACATAGTCAGCCACCCCTTGAAGTCTCGGCCAATCACCGACTGACTAGATGACCATGGTCCTGGGAGGCTTACACAATACAGCCTGGGTGTGTAACAGGCAACACATTTTAGTTTCTGTAATTACACACGATCACATTTTCATAGCAATGAATCTGCCCAATGATGCCTTTCTAAATGACAGGACATATCCCTGTCGTTAAGTGACTCATGACTAAAATGGATTCCAATGGATATTTTGACTTGATCCATCTGTAAAATTTAGGAAACATTTTTTTTATCTTTATCAGGACAGTCATTCCTTCTGGGATCTGTTGGTACTTTCTGCTGAGAAATACACCCATCAAATCACAAGTCAGTAGGAATGTGTGCCAACTCCAAGCCTCAGGCTCCTGAGTCAAGTCCCCTGTGATTGGGAAGCAGCAATATAAGTCACATTGGCACATGCCAGGTGCCCCTAAGAACCTCCAGGCTCCAGACCTATGCGAGGTCTTAACCACAGGTGCAGAGCCACAGAGTCATCGAGACTGAGGTGTAGGGTCTCCCAGAGGGCAGGGAAGACGAGAAGCTCATGTTTGCTGGCAAGGAACCGAACCACAGTACTGCTTCTGCTGGGAGCTCTTTTCATTACTAATCTCTACATCTGAGCCCAAGGGCTAGCTGAGCCATGACTGCATTGCTTTTGAGCTCAGAGTGGTACATTTTCGAGATAGGAATTATTCTAGCCAGGCCCCTAGGTATGCGTCCCTCCGGGATGGAGAAGCAGGGACTGTCTGTCTGCTGCTACTGCTCGGAAGGAACAGGCTCTAATCTGATGGATTGTCCTGACACATGGCTGGGGAGCAAACATAAGGTCTGAGTACTTCCTGCCTCCTTGGAGGGAAGTACAAAGTGTTATTTTGGTTAGGGAGGTGGGAAAAAGAGACAAACGGAGAGAGACAGAGAGCTCAGTCCCCAGAGGCAGCAGACAAGGAGCAGGAACTAAATGTTAGTTCAGAGCCAGCACTCCCTTGGGGAGCCTGGATTTCCTGTGACAGCCTCTGACTCCCCACCAAACCCGCTCTCATTATTTTCCCTGTTTGGGCAACTTTGCTCCCCAGCACAGGACCTGAGTTCCCAACCCCTCATATCGTCAGAGGCTGCAGAAGGGCCCTGCCCTCCTTGGAGCTGAGACTCCGTGTGACTTGGACTCGGGGTTCCTCTTCACTCCCCTCCATGCACCGCATGTCTTCATGGGTAGGATTTCTGCTGCAGTTCCCAGGTGAGTGCTTAGTGTCACCCCTTTGCTCTGTCTGCAGGCCCCTGATCTGCAGGTAGACTCCAGGTCTCACCCTGAAGAGGACATAGGTATAAAAAGCAGAGGCCATCCTCCATACACTTCTTGTTTCTGGGAACATTTCTGGAGAAAAAAGCAGGTCAGTGGAAGCTTGAGGGCTATCTCCTACCGCTGCCCCTTGGAAAGGACCCGTGCCTTCCAGCACTCCCCAAGAAGTCTGTCTGTCACTCACATCAGCTCCCAATCCAGCTGAGCCCGGTCAATGTCATCCATCAGCCTCATCAGTTTCCTCTTAAACTGATGCTCAAAACGCACATCGTCCTCAATGACCAGAGTCTTTTCCAGCTCTCGGTCAATCACCTGTAAGGGTCATCAGTGGGAAGATACTTGATGAAAAGTTCATATCCATTTTTTATTAGATAAATAAATGTTAAAAATTCAAAAACACAGTGGCACAACAGGTAAGCTCTCTTGGAAACAAAGCCAATGCCCGTCAACAGTAGAATGGATAAATAAATGCAGTGTGCTGGTAACAGTGGGAATGCGTGTTCGACAATTAAATACAACATCATGGGTGAGCCTCACGGGTATAGTGATGAATATACCATGTAGTTCCATTCATTTTAAAAAAGCATAGAAGTAGGCAAAGCTATTAGAAGTCAGGGTGGTGGTTCCCCTGGAGAACTGGTAACTAGGAGAAAGTGCCAAGAGGTACTGGTTTGAAGTGCTGTTAACCCATTTCTTGATCTTAGTGCTATTAATACAGGGGTCTTGTTCAGTCTGTGGAATTTCATTGTCGTGTAACATATGCTCTACATTTTTCATACATGTTTGTTACATTTCAAATTTAAAGGAAAAAGAGGCAGATATAGTTAGGATTATTAGAAGAGCAAAGGCATTCAAGATGCCCTTCTTGGGGACTTTCTTGGGTAAGAACTGACTCTTAATACTGAACCCCACACTCCAATACCACCACCACCAATGCCTGAGCTATAAAAAAAAAAGACACATATTCAAGTCTTGGCCTGGCTGCTTTTTGTCTGGACAAACCACTGATCATTTTCTTTTAGGTAAAAAGGGTCCATCCCTCCCAACTCATCTCACATGACATCTGTGTGACTTATATGAGATCACTTAACAAGTACAGACATGCTAGATGCATTTAAGGTTTGGAATGGCACAATGAGGATGAGACAGCATTGACAGAAGCATGACCACCAGACATGGCATCTCCCCCGTCATCATGCTGAGTGGCACTAAGCTGCCCCTCCTTGCTTGTTGCTGGCCTCATGTCAGAGGGAAACATGAGTGAACAGCTCCCCCCTAGGTATGCTTCCAGAACAGCTGGGGACTCATGTTGCATGTGGCTCTGATGCACCTACAGGTACCCCTCTCCTTTCTCATTTTAAAACTGCCTATTTAAATAAAGTATTACTTACCTCTTTCCAGACAGAGTAGTGGCTGAGAAAGCAGCCGATTTCACCCCTGGTAAGCGGCCTGGAGGAGTAGGGATCTCGGTATCCAGGCAGCATTTCGATATTCAGGGCCTTCAGCTGGCTCGTGTTGAGTGCCCTACATGGCAGAGAAGATGTCTCAGAATTAACAAGTGGCGGTGTCCCCACCATGGAGTACAGAAGGAGAGTTCTGCATATTCCCTAGAGTCTTTATACACGCTGAGAAACCATCCTCAGGTTTTCCGCATTCCTTAGCAACTACTTGGGGTTAATGTGTCACAATAGCACCACGACCTCTGTGAAGACAGAGGATGTCTTAGATTTTTGTGTAAACCCAATATAGTTCTAAGTATCATCAGTCTATTGTGTTCTCCTAATGAATAAAGAGCATAGGAGCATTAAATACAGGAAGGACTAAGGGGAGCAATTGCATGTCTGTTTCCTTTGAAACTAAATTTTTTTTTAAAGATTAAAAACCAAAAAAATTAGAGAAACATTTCCAGAACAGTAGAGTGAGGACCTCTGAAAATGTACTCCAAAAAAAAAAAAAATAAGATAAAAATTTGTTAAAATCAACTTGTTCAGAATTCTAGGCATTAACTAAATGCTTACAATAATACAAAGCATTTTTATTAGAAAAAAGATAGTTAAAATCTGTAAATATAGTGAGTTTTGTGGCATTTTTACCTGTCCAAGTCCCATCCTTCTCTTCTGCAGAACAGGGGTTCTGCAGAAATCTTAAAAACCAATAGTCTTACAACTATGGCAACTGTGAAAACTAGTGCCCCAGCAGCTGAGGAGGGGACAGAGTAGAAGCCCTATCTTCAATCACTATTCAACCTGTCTAGAAGCTTCCTTAAATACTCCATTCTCAGAACTTGTCTTTATTTGACTTGTGAATTCATTATATGTGAACGGTTCTATCTGCAGGGTATTTGTCAAAAATCATCAGCAATAACTGTTTAATATCACAGCTGCCTAAGACAGCATTATCAGTTGAGTTTAACAGGGAGTTGACCAAAAATTAAAAGGAAAAAGATGCCCCCGGGGGGTTTGAAAATCTCTGACCTTCCTGTCAATCTGAAAGGCCTTGTGCAATGCAAGGGTTTGCATGTGCCCAGGAAAGAGCTGAAGAAGCCCCAACAGCTCATCTCTAATTAACTGTGATGATCTGGGAAAACAGGAAGTGAAGGCTAAGGCAGAGTTATAAACTGCCTGCCAGAACATTGAAAACATACCCTAGTATAGGCGTACAGAGCCTCTCAGCTAACACTGGGAGATGTCCCAGTTATAGCCCTGTAAGGATTTTCTGTCTAATTATTAGCTGACCAGTAAGCTAAATGAAAATGGATCAAAGACTGAATGTGTTAGATATCCATATCATATACAGATATAGGTATGCATCTCTCTATATATTTTTAAGATCTCTCTATATAGCTAAGATACATGTGTATATATGTATATGTATCTACATATATAGCATGTATATACGACACACACATGTATATATGATATGCATGTGTGTATGTCATGCATACATATATGTATACATATATGTATATATGTGTATATGTTTATCTATGGTATATACCTATATGAGGCAAAATTATGAAATTCTTAGAAGAAAACATGGAATAAGACTTTGGGGTTTGACTCAGATTCTTAGATATGGCTTGCAAAGCACATGCAACAACAACAAAATAAATTAGACTTCATCAAAATTAAAATCTGTCATATTTTGTATCAGTGGACACCACTGTGAAAGTGAAAAGACAATCCATAGAATGGGAGAAAATATTTGCAAATTTGTATATCTGACGGGGGACTTATACAAGTGACCAAGAATATATAAAAACTCTCACAACTTAACTGGTTTCCCCTGGTCAGGTGGCCTATAAACAGCACTGGGACTCTTGGGGGTATCTGAGGCAGTGGATCCCACACTCTAGGGCACCCAAGAATACTGTCGCTAGGTTTAACAAGTCCAACAACGCCCAGTCAAGCTCAAATTTCAGATAAACAATGAGTAATTTTTTGGCATAAGTAAGTCCCATGCAATTTTTGGGACACACTTAACTGGCAGTCCTGTATCTTAAGTGGCAACCTGACCAAGGCACCATGCAGAGGATTTTTAAATGCAGATTCCCAGCCTCAGCCTTGCAGATCATGATTCTTCTGCTCTGGGATGGGATTGAGATGAGGGTGTCCCGGTCACACCTTCAGAAACACCGATGAGGTTCTCTAAAGGAGTCCTAAGAACGTCCACAGTGGCTCCACACCGTACTCTTCAGAGCCACTCATTACAAATGAATACATAACATGGAAATGTAGGTCTGGCAAAAATCTATCCCTTGAAAGGACTGTCAAATAAAAGGCCAAAGGAAAGCAAAACAAAACAACAACAGAAAAAAAAAAAGTAGAACCTGGAAGAAATCCAGTGATACACCCTGTGTGAATTTCCTGCCATGTTCCTGGGAAAAGTGATGGGGCTGGGCCCACCATGTCTTGCAACAGGACAGGCAGACTATTAAGCACTTTTTTCCATTTACTTTCTTCAGGTCACCCAGGTTTCGACACTCTGCTCTAAATCAGGCTCTGCAGACAACTCTGAGTGCATTCTTTCCAATGCAATACAGGAAGCCGGAAACCACCACCCTAGAAGAACCCCAGAGACCAGAGATGGGAAAATCACTCCAGTGTGCAGCTCCAGGGTAACAAGAAGTGATCGGGAATGGTGGGTGAATTTCAGGCCTGCTCTACAGTGTGAAGTTAATTTAAATGCTACCATAAAGTAGGTGGTCATTTAAAAAAAATGTCTATTCTTCAATGATGGCAGATTCCCTCCACCCAGGACCAAAGCTCAGTCAGAGAGGACACATCCCCACTCCAACCACATCTGGAAGGCTTCCAGAAAAAGCTCACTTTCCATCCACAGCCTCCACGATCTTGACCTCAATCTCCTGCTCGTACAGGGAACGTAACATCCGGTCCCGTCTGTCCTTTCTACGCTTCAGGTTTATCATGAAGATCTAATGCAGGAAGAAAAAGACAAGAGAAACTCAAATGATTCTGGTCATTTTAGGCTGTTCGAAAAATTAAGTCAATGTAAGGACCCACATTTTAGTTAGAATAAGGAATGGAAATGAAAGGTAAACTAGTTAAGATTTGTTTATATTTCCTATCAGGTCAAAAGATATTCATCCAAACTTTCTATTTTTTTTTTTTAAAGATTATTTATTTATTCATTTATTTATTTATTTATTTATTTATTTATTTATTTATTTATTTATTTATTTATTCAAGCACTGGGTACAGTCAGAAGCACGGGAGAGTGAGAGAATTCACCAGAGCCAGAGCAGAGAGCAGAACTGGCAGAAGGACCGAAGTATACTGCTGAGGGGAGCAGCGGGCGCGGCAGGAGAGGTCTGCTTGCCATGAGAGACCCTCGCCTGTGGCTGGGGATCGAACCGGTGCTGTAGAGGCTGCAGGCAGCTTCGCAGCCCAGCACTCAACCGCCGCGTCACCGGAGAGGCCCCAGAACTGCTTTGTAAATTGAATCCTTTGCAGTGACTTAACCCTCTCTTTGTATCTGATTTTTGTTTGTGAACATGTTCACCCAGGTTGTGAGATAAGAAAGTTCAAAAAGTTACTTTTCAGGAAACCCATGGAGAATGGAACCCCCAAACACAGGAAACTAAAAGATGGCAGTTTGGTAGTGAATTAAGTTTATCAGCAGACTGAGTTTCCATATTATTTACTTAAGTATTTGTCATAGACCAGTTCCTGTGCCTCAGTTTCCTCATCTGTCCAACTGGAATAATACATGTACTATCTCATGGGTACTAAATATTAGCTGTTGTTATAACTTATATCCACTGTAGATCAATTTAAACTCATCCAAAGAGTAAGTCTAAAGTCTTACACATTCTATTTATTTCCAAAGGTTCCAAACTGAATTAACAAGGTCTGTTTTGTAGCTTCTTTGCCAAAATTCTTCTACTTCCTTAGAGAGCAGGGGGTTTTTATGAAAAGAGCAGAGAAAGGGTACTGCATGTGTGGGGAGATTTCAGAAGAAGAGGGGCAGGAGGAATAGAGAGGCATAATTTCTACCTCACGTGGCTCTGGAGGAAATGTGAAAGGCAGGACACCAACTGGTCCATGACACACCAGAGAGTGTGTGTTCGGATCTCCCCCAGGCAGCTGGGTCCATCTTTAGCACCTCACCTTGTCCCCTAAATTCCTGATGGATGCACTAAACACTCGCAGACAAGGCTACTCCAGGGAGTTACAAATAGTGAGACTTTGGTTACCACCCCAGATTTAAGGAGTCACAGAAGTACCCGACAGATGGTATTAAAGGGAAACTAGTGCTTTAATAAGGCACTAAGTGACCAACAATAAACTCACTTTCAACATTAAAATTAGTCCTCTCAAGAGGGGGATAGCTGAAGACCTGCCAGCAAGACATAATGCCAACACATAGCATGGAAAAAGAGGAACCTACAGGAATAGGTCACACAGCACTGGCTTCACCCCGACCCACTATCTAGATGACTTTGAGGAAGAGAATGAACAGTGCAGGGTCCAGTTTCCCTGTGTGTGAAAGGAGGGAGATGGACAAAGCCATCTCTCAAGTTCAGTTCAGGTTAAACTTCTTCGATATGTGATTTATGATAGCCTGCTTCAGGAATAAAGAAGAAAGAAGAACGTCCAGAACAAAGAAGAAAATGTAGTCTTACTAACAGCCTGGAGGTTTGACTAGGTTGAGCGTTGGTTTACATGGTCTTTGCACATGATCATAGACGCATTATGTGTTTCTGTGGGAGCAGAAGCTATACTAGCTAAAATTTCAATCCTTCCTTATAAAATATTATCACTTCTACCCATTTATGTACAGCATTGGGCAAAGAAACAGATGGGGAAGCAAGATATTCTCTGAAGAAATCATCTGCCTCACCTAGGGCCAAGTAGATCAGATGCAACATTATCTTCTTCTTCTTTTTTTTTTTTTTTTAAGATTTATTTATTTAGGGCCTCCCAGGTGGCGCAGCAGTTGAGCGCTGGGTTGCGAGGCTGCCCGCGGCCTCTGCGGCGCCGATTCGATCCCCGGCTGCTCCCCGGCCACTGGAGGAGGGTCCCACATGGCGCACAGACCTCTCCTGCTGCCCGCTGCTCCCCTCAGCAGTGTACTTAGGTCCTTCTGCCTGCTCTGCTCCCTGCTCTGGCTCTGGTGAATTCTCTCGCCCTCCCGCGCTTCTGACTGTACCCAGTGCATGTATAAACAAGCAAACAAACAAACAAACAAATAAATAAAAACATGGCTCTATTTAAAAAAAAAAAAAAGATTTATTTATTTATACAAGCACTGGGTACAGTCAGAAGTGCGGGAGGGTGAGAGAATTCACCAGAGCCAGAGCGGGGAACAGAACAGGCAGACTGACGAAATACACTGCTGAGGGGAGCAGCGGGCGCAGCAGGAGAGGTCTGTCGAGCCATGTGGGACCCTCGCCGGCAGCCAGGGATCGGACCAGCACTGCAGCGCTCAACTGCTGCGCCACCAGGGGAGGCCCAGGTGCAACATTATCTTCTCACCTCCTTTGTTTACCTAACTGGGTAACTCTTTGTTTGAAAACCTAATTTCCGCAGTAGCTCTGACCTTGCAACTTCACGCCTTGTGTTCCTCTATCTTTCATTTTCTTTCTGTTTGGAATCACACTGTGATGGCCATGTTCCAAGCCCCAATTTTACAGCTAGGGGAAGAGAAGGGCCGTTGCTCAGGTGTAGACATGGAGTTTACCTGAGGTCACTCTCCAGGAGCACAAACACAAAATCAAACCAACAATCAACAGAAATGTAACAAACAGCACCCTCGAATCAGAAACCGCCCAGCAAGGAAGACTTTAGCAAGTAACAACCCAGTCTCAGTTTCTGCCAGGACAAGGGCAATAAAAACTGCAGCCATGAAGGAAAAACACAGACGGCTTGCTCATACTCGGTGAACAGTAAACAGAGAAAGAACACATGGCCAAAGGCAGCCAGACACCAAGAGGGCTGGACACTGGACAGACTGGAAAGAGCCCTAAAAATCCCTCTCCATCATCCTCTTTCTGTTCCAAACAGAGAGTTGATTTCCCTGGGCTCAGGCAAATAGAGTCCCTGAGCTTGTGCCCCTTGCTAGACTTGGCATTTTCCAGAGTGACCGTTTCCAGGAATGACCAGTCCTTACAGCCCCGTCCAAGGGAGAGGCCAGAGGCAGAAGATCCTATTCTGTCCCATTTAATTTGCTTTGCTTTGGTCCTCAGGGGAGGAATTTATAAGAGGAAAAATGAATATATGTAAGGGCGCTTGGGTCCATTTACCTGGAACAGGGAACTGATGAGTGCTGCAGGGAAGGAAAGGCCAAGTAATTCATGAAGCCAGTCCAGGGCGTGGCATGGGAAACCCTTTCTGCAGCCCTATTTGTTTTTGGAAACTGCACTTTTGTCTAATTCCCCTATGCCACACTTGCCATCATCTCTCCTCTGGGGAAGTAGCATAATAGCTGCTGACTCTTCTTGTATTTAATATTCAAGAACCATTCCTACCAACTCCCAAAGTCCAGGTCCAAATCAATTTTGTGGACAAAATCCCAGTTCCCAGTCCCAGCAGCTCTTTGGAAGGCTGTCCTTTGAGGGCCAGGATTATACGGTACCAGGTGGTGAACAATGAAGCAGTGGCAATGAGCACTGAGCACTGAGCAGAGCCTGACCTCTAACATATCCCAAATCTACGAAAAAATTGTCTCAGTTTGTGGACTCCTGAGACATTAGCCTCACCTTTAGACCACGGAGCTCCTGAGTCCTGCCTCAGCAGAAGCATCTCCATAAAAGAGGGAGGTTCCAGGTTCCCTGCCCCAACTAATAAGGCGCAGGGCTGAACAGCCAGGTGAGGATATGGAAGACTTGGAGGAGACATGGAAAAAGGAGACATGCGGAGCAGAGACCCATGAAGGAGGGCTTGTGTCTCAGTTTTGGACTTGCACTAAGGTTTTGGAGGACATGGAAGAGACACATGGAGTCAAACCACATAGGGACACTTGTAAGAGACACGTGGGTGGGAGACTCATGAGAGGCTGACAATGGCAGCCTTTATCTTGACTCATACATTAATTTTGTTCTTTTTATCCAAAATATGCCTGGCCCCTTTGGTCCCTTTCCTATGGTTCCCAGCCAGAAGATGCCTTAGACTTGTGGCAAATTTTTAGGCCTCAGCAGCCCAATTTTGGGCCAACCCTGTTTGTCATTCACCCACCAGGGGATGGGTAACTGTGGGTATTTCATTAGGAAACTATATACTTTCTTTTCTTCTCTCTCTATGTATAATAATTCTATTAAAGATCTCGAACACTAAGAGTTTGCTTGGTTTTTATGTGGCAGATGGCAGACTCACTTTAGGACATTCAAGTTGGGGTGTCCCAGGGTGCCCCTAAGTCTGCCCGCTACCTAGATGGCATGAAGGACCTATGAAGGATTCAGCAATTTGGAGTCACTATTATGGTCCTGTCCAGTGCCTGTTGAATATATAACCAAGAGAGGCATCTCTTTATCCCTCTGCTTCATTCTTTATTCAATAGAAATAGATAATAGAAAGTTGTCTGCTGAAAGGGAGAATTTTAGAACAGATTTCATTTCTCTCTCTCTTTTTTTTTTTGTCTTCTCAAATCTGCTCTCTGATTTTTCCCATGGAAGAGCAGCAGAGAGAAAAAAAAAAAAAAACACAGTATTTCAGCACAGTTCCACCACAGTTCCAGCGCTAAGACATATATCCTCTGTGACCCCTTGATGAAACTTTTGATGAAAAAGTTGATAAAATGTGGCAATATCTGCTACTGAAAATATTGATTCACTTTCACTATTAAATAGTAACTTCTTGGAGGCCTCCCTGGTGGCACAAGGGGTTGAGACGTAACCTATGAAGCTACCCGCAGCCCCTGCAGCACGAGTTGGATCCTGGCCAGGGAGCTACCCACATGGCGCAGCAGACCTCTTCTGTTGCGCCCGCTGCTCCCCTCAGCAGTTGATTTCAGTCAGTCTGCCTGTTCTGTTCCCCATTCTGTCTCTGGTGGGTCCTCTCACCCCCTACACCTCTACCCTGTACCCTAGTTCTCATAGGCATAAATAATCTTTAATAAATAAATAAATAGTGACTTTTTTCTGGCTCAAAGAATAATGACCATGGACCTCTTCTTTCAAATAAGAAAACTGAGGCACAGCCAAAAAGCCGGTGGTTTCCCAAGACTCAGGGCCTTTTCACAGATGAGTGCTCAGGCTCCTCCACCAACGTAAACACATAAGCACGTGGCACACACACACACAGCCACCTTTCCTACCTCATCAAATCCCATCTTGTCTGGATATTTGGGGACAACTGAGACAAACTGGGAGGGCTCCATGGGAGGGCGGTCAACTGGAAGACACAAGAAACATGCAGAATGCTGGTTAGTGACAGGGTCAGAGAAAAGCTGCAGTCGAGTCCGCAGTGGGGACCACTCAGTGGGTCTCCCCCACCCACTGGCCAACAGGACCCGGGGGTCAGGGTGCTGAGTCAGAGAGTGCTTGTTTCTATGAAGATTGCAGATCAGCCTGCAATATTGTGAATTATAAGAAAAACATACACTGGGCATTCAGAGGACCAAAATAGATGTTACTCACACATATTTGGTTTTCATCTACAGTTCCTGGCTCACATCTCCCCAAACCTTTGGAATTTCCCTGGTGTGGTGAGTGATGAAGGTGTCCATTGTTATGTTACTGAGAGGACTTTTTGGGAAGACCCTAAGAAAGGGCACTAGTGTTGGCTGGAGAACCAAGCTGGTGATTGAAGAGCTGGGGCCTCCAGTCCCGCCCTCCTGGACCACTTGGTAGGGGAGAGGGGCTGCAGATTGAGTTCAGTCGCCAAGGGCAGTGATGCCTAGGTAATAAAGTCTTGGGCATTCTGCTGGTTCCCAGTTCCAGAAGGACAGAAACACCTATGTATTTCTTCTTACTGTTCATTCCAATCCCTGGGATAAATTGGTGACATGGTGATTACAGTTTCCTGAATTCTGTGTGCCAAGTTAGCAAACCAACTGAGTCTGAGGTGGGGGCCCCCTGGGAGCTTCTGATTTAGAAGCACAGGTAACTGCCTGGCTTGCAGCAGCTGGTGTCTGAAGTCTAAGGAGGGGGTGTGTGGGAATCTCTAGTCTGAAACTGGTTGGTCAGAAACACAGTTAACAGCCTGAGCTGGCAACTGGCATCTGAAGTGAGAGATGCAGTGAGAGACGGAGCTCTCTGCCTATGGAACCCGATGCTGTCTCTGGGTAGACAGAATTGAGCTGAATTCTTGGACATTGAGCTGGTATCTGAGAATTGCTTGTTGGTGTGGGGAGCCTCTACATAAATTCACATTGGAATCGGGGTGAGGGAACCCTTATTCATTGCCCCATTTCCTTTAAGACCTATTTTCAGATAATTTGCAAGGTAGTTTAGGGTAACGGTGAAGTGTGAGGGATGTGGAGTCAGATGGTCTAGGGCCAAACTCTGGTCTGTGATGATCTAGAAGAGTCAGGTGACCTCTCCAAGTCTGTTTCTTTGTATGTGGAATGAGGACATAAAAGTATATCTTTTATGATGTTAAAAAATTTAAATGAGACCTGGATGCAAAGTACTCAACGCAATAAAATTAACTAGTAAAGACTCAATAACTCTTAGCTATTATTTAGGTGACCCATGGTGAAACAGCTCAGAAACAGACTAGAGTTTATTCCAATAGTGCTTTTTTTCTTGTATATTTAAAACTGTCAGAATCAGACTATTTTTTAATTCCGTCCAGATAGGTTTAGCTACAGGTACTCAAAACACATTTATTTTAATAAGAATTCACCTCTATGGTCCAATCCACGTCCCAGAGCTTGACACAGAGCTAACAGAGAAGTTTCCACATGGGAGGGACACCGCATCTTAATAAAAGTATGTTTTATTTGATAGTAAAAATAAAAGCTTTCTTTTCAAACTCTATAGTTCAAGGGCCGAAAGCAATTATTAAAGAACTTGAAAAGGTCTTGAAGATTTTTGGTATTACACATATTTAAAGAACTCCTTTGTTTTTCCTGAAAGGAAATGAACAAAATTTCATTTTAAATACAAGAAAATTTAAAATGAGAGCTGGTAACTGGGTTGTCTGAAGAACTGTTGGGGAAGGCCGTGGCTACTGCTCCCAACGTCCATTCTCCTCTACTCCAGGAATACGAGCCAACACATTTTCCTGCCCTTGAAGCCCATTATGGGCATGCAACTTGCTGGAGGAGGTTTAAATTGGGACTGCTCAACATGCCAAACCCTCCCTCACTGCCCCATTACCCCCCACCCCAGCTCCCCTACCCCCACAGTCCCCACAGAATCCTCCCTACCCTAACCTACCCCACAGTCCACCTCAACAGTCCTCCCTACCCTCTACTTTCCCTACTATAGTCCCTTAATAGTTCCCTCAAAGTCCCCCCACATTACCCCTTCCCTCACAGTCCTCCCAACTCTTCACCTATAGTCCTCTCTGCTCTACTCCCATACTCACAGTCCTCCCCACCTCCTTATATTCCCCCAATAATCCTCTTTCCCTCCCACAGGACCCTCCAAGTATCCCCCACATAGTCCCCCCCAGGGATCTAGGAGTACAGGCAGATATGAGGAGCCACCCTGAAGCAGCTTGGACTAAGCACCAACACTTGGAAGGCAGCTGCCTGAGCAAAATCGAAGAGCAGGCAATAGAGGTTTTGGACACCATTTGATAGCTCAGTATAACTTCACCCATCCTGACTGAGACACTGTGCAAAGGGCTTTATTTGTTTAGTTTATACTTCAATGGGATATTAGAGAGAAAAACATGATATCCACTTTTATTATTGATCAAATGATGCCAGAGACAGGAGTTGGTATTATTACTCTAACCCTGGCCTTTAGAGACACATTTCTATCAGGTCAAGTACATGTGTCTGCTCACATGAGCAGCCAGAATATCTCAGTCCTTTCTGCTCCACCCCACTCTCTATGAATTGCTTTACAAATCACAAACATTGATTGAGGGCCCACCATATACAGGGTTAGGTTCCTAAGAGCAAGGAAACTTAGCAGTCAAACTCTTCCTGACCTCGGTATTGTTTGAGGAGCTTCCTTGCCTTCCCTCCTTGGGCTTCCAGGTTGTTCTAGGTTATAGGCTAAGTTACCATTTGCACACCCTGGGCCTCTGGCACTCACATGGCCTGCATGGCTTGAACATTTCCCTCCAAGAGACTGCTTTTATTGACGTTGCTTCCACCAAACATGGGCAGTGTTCTTAGGACAAGAGTCCCCAAAAAGCCACGAGTGGCCGGATCCTAGAAGCCAACAGTGAGCAGAAATATGAGAAATATGTCTGAGTTTTGCCACTGAAGGCAGAGGTAAGCTACAGAGAAAAGCAGCCATGAATAAGACTAATTCAAGCTATGAATTAGACAGAAGAGACTTACTACACGGGAGGAGATGTGTCCTTGCTAACATGAAACTTGAAGGTATATCCCATCTCTGTTTGGGATCATTCCTGACATTCATAATTTATCCAGCCCCTCATTGAATCCCTCCCTACATAGTCCCTACTGTCCCACTACTTATAACATTGCATTTTATTGGCTCCTGGGTAGTTTTAGTATCTAGGCACAATAACTACTGTTAGAAAGCGCCTAATACTCACTAATCTCCAGGCTACACACTTGATATGTATAATCATATTTAACTAATCTTCACAAAAAGGAATGGGGGTCAGGTATGAACGTCATGAATGTCCCTTTTTCACAGATAAGGAAACAAAAGCTTCCACAACATGCTGAAATCAGAGAGCTGGTAGAGTGGGTATTTGAACCGAGCTCTGATGCACACTCAAACCTTACCCCCCCCCACCCTGCCCCTGAAAGGTAATCGTGGGTGTCAAGTGGCCCTTGGCAACTGGGTGGGTTCACAGTAGCTCAATGAGCTAAGTCCTTGCTCCTGGAGGACCATCCCTTGTTCTTCCTTTGTGGTCTACACTGAAGCACATAACCATTCAGCCCACCACATCCAGGCCCCAGTCTGGAAAAGTAATTGAGAGATTGTACTGAGAATAAATTTTAACCATTCTCTCCCATCATTTCTCCATAACTTCTCCCAGTGCTGCAGCCACCACCCTCGCTCAGCCCTTACTCACTATGTCTGAGTTTTTAGAGTATTTTTACACACTTTTCTCTGTGGCCTCATTCCAACTCATTTTGCACATTGTTGTCCAGAGTCTGCTTCCTTAAGCTCAGATCTGTTCTCGAACATAAGCTGTCATACTTGGCACAGAAGTGTTTCACAATTTATTTCATGGTTTTTAGCTCCACGACATCACTTTATCCTCACCTTTTTACTAGTTTATGTATTTATTGGTTGTTATTTGTATTATACATGAAGCAATTGAGACCAACCCAGATGTAGATTTGCCCCTGTTCAAATGAGTGACTGGCACTGGCAGAACTGGAACTCTCAGTTCTAATTTCAAGTCCAACAACCTTAATAATCTTTACATGATTTTTGTTGCCTACAAATGTCATCATGGAGAATGGGCACCAACCATTTCCCATCACCTCACGCTCCGACTTGTAATCTCCCCAAACTACATAACACGTTCACTTCTATCATCATTACAAGATGAACTCTCTTGTCATTTACCCTCAAATTTTCTGTCCAGAAACACACCCTTAAGCACTCTGTACAGCACCCAGTGTACTAAACAAGTAAACACATGTACAATGATGGGCCCGGCTTAAGAGAAGGGTTGGCCTTGTTGCTGTTACACCCATCTCCAACCCCACCCAAGCTCTCCACTCTGGCCTCTGAAACTCAAGTCTGCAATTCACAAGCTCCCTCACATTTCCAGTCTCTTCTTTTCCTGCATGTCCCTTTGCCTTTCTGTTTTAACTTGGCTTTCCTTCGGGAACACTGCCTCCCTTTAAACTGTCAGAGTGGAAGCTGATTTTTCTCATATCCCCAACTCCCTCCAAGCTGTTTCCTTTTCATTTTTCAAAACCCCCAGCTTTTTCTGAGGCATCTTTTAGCACCTCCCTCCCCGCCACCTGCTGATCATACCCTCTCTGTTACTACTGCTCTGACCTCTGACTCCCAATCTCACTGGCACTGGCACTGCCACCATCTTAGAAACCTCAGCATCCAGGTGGTGATGCAGCCAACCACCTGACTTTTAGGGTCTTGATCTTGGCACCAACAATCCTTCTTGCAGGACCCACTGCCATGTTTTCATCCATCACACCTGTCATGTGCACACTTCCTCTAGTATCTGGCCCAGATTTCATGGGCTAGCACTCTAACCACCCCTTGTAAAGACCCTTATGTCCCTTCCATTGTTCTTGCTTGATAAAACCTGAT